TCAGTTGCTTTCTCTGCATGATTGTATATTGACTTTCTAAAGTGCTTGAGGATCCAGGTTGGGATTCTAACGTTCATCAACCCTTCACCCTGCCTACAGAAAACTTTCGCATTTCTTATTTGTATCAAGCTAATTTGGTAAATCAATCAATATATTAATTTATAAGTCGTTAAAGTAAAATACCTTTGTGGAAAAGCCTGTAAACTACCTTTAATTAGAAGACCAAGAAACTGGCCACAAGTACTTCGTTCCTTAGAAAATAATATCGGTTAGTCAGTGAACCAGTATTGGTATTCATTGATCTAAAAAAATATATATATATATATATATATATATATATATATATATATATATATATATATATATATATATATATATATATATATATATATATATATATACATACATACATATATATATATGAACTTTTGCATATATATATATATATATATGCAAAAGTTCATGCGGACTGTTCCCTGCGGTGACTTCAAGATTATTTTTTTTGCTTGGTAACTTTTCTTCTCTGTTCAGGTTTTTGTGAGATGAAGGGCATTCCTGGATGGTCCATAGGATATTAAAAAAGGAATAGAACCTATTCGACCCGGAGTGTCGGATACACTCCATTGTTACTCCATTTACAAACTCCCATCATTAAAATGATAAAGTACACAAAACATCTTTATATTAAGTTTCCTTATTAACTTGATACTTTATTAGATACCCTGTACAGTATTTGCTTGGGGTGTTAGGAGAACTATCGCAGTGAGAATCTCTTGAACTGTACAGTATATACCGGTATTTCTGCTGCCCCCTTTTTTCTTTTTTTTCTGTATACCTGTACTGCATTTCATATTAATGCAATAGTTTTTGCTTTTATATATATCTATATATATATATATATATATATATATATATATATATATATATATATATATATACATATATATATATATATATATATATATATAGATATATATTTTTTTGTGTATTCGGCGTCATATACCTTGAACTGTTGCGAAGCTAGAAGTACTTGTAATAGATTAATAACGAAAGCTTTCTTAGAGTTTGAATTATGAAAATAAAGAGAAAATCTTTTTTCAAGGGAAATTTTGAAGCAGCTTTATAAGTGTTTAGAAACGAGAAGTTGGTGAGTAATCGCAATAGAGGGAAAATGTCGACACTGAAGAGGTAACGTGTTCAATCGTCACAGACCGACCATTTAGAAGAAAGTTTCATACTATGTTGCGACGGGAAGATTATCACGGCTAGAAACTTACCACAATAATAATCCAGATAATAACACCTATTCCAAGTTGTTGTTAATGACTTAGCGTACGTGTTGGTGAGGGTGTGAGAATGAGTATGGGTCAGTGACCTGTGCCCGGGTGGGCTAATTCCCGTAAAAAAAAAATGTACACATGTATTTTCACTGTACTTATACAAACAGAGGCTCAATCAGGATTTTTTTTAAGGGAGGGAGGAGGGTCAGATTAATTATGATGACTAAGAACATTAAATTATCTACCCAGAAGCATAACTGGATCACGTGAAGATTAGTCCCAGCTTATTTCATGGGGGCTTAGGTTAGGTTAGGTTAGTGTTAAATTAGTTACTCTTAAGGTGAAATAAACTGTGATGTTTAATCTTTATGTGATTCGCATAATTTAATTTTAACATATGTTCTTAATATAGCAAATGACCAAAAAAAAAAGGACACATTGAACTTGTCTAGTTACCTCTTCCATACGAGTTAGAAAGCGGTGACGCACACACACACACACACGCTAACTCTTGCCCTGTAGGTTTAATTATCTGGATGGGTGAGCTAGTTAAACAAAAGAATGTCGCAACGCTTGGCTCTGATTCTTAAATACTTGGAGAACCTTTTTTATGTAGATTTTACTGGTAATATGAAAATGCATCTAATTTTGGGAGAATTTCAGTGCTATTTTGGTGATATTTAAAGGTTTCTAAGTCTCATTTTCTTCACAACAACGCATCTAAAAGCCTCACTTAACCTAAAAACACACAAAAAACTAACATCTGTTTAAAATAATTTCGGATAGATTTTCTACCATAATTTGGTCTCTTAATTGGTGTACAGTAAGTGAAACAAACATTCGGTTAAGGTGGAGGTATATAGCCTAGCATTAGAAAGTTATATTTGAAACATTGGTTATAATATTTTGGGTTAAGTCATCTATTGTTTACTGAAAATGAGAACAATAGATACGCCAATTTTGTATCGTTTATCTCTCTCTCATAGCATCGCACTGTCGGTCTCTCACTCTCCTTCCGACCCCCTACCCCTTCTCTCTCTCTCTTTCTCATAACATCAGTCGCCTCGAGTAAGTCATCACAGGCTTTCACGGCAAATTTAAGTAAAGAAAGTTGCGAAGCACAGGTTCTGCCCCCGGGAGGCAAACTTGTAGTTGTTGTGGTGGTGTTGTAATATGGTTGAGATGACGAATGTGGTTGTGGTGATGGTGGTAGTGATAGTGATGGTCGTAGTGGTAGTGATGGTGGTAGTGAGAGTAATGGTGTTAGTGGTAATAATAAAATAGTAATAGTAGAAAGATAAATGACAATGATACAGATGTTGAAATAATACGAGTAATTAAGTTATTGTAATATAAAATAGTGTTAGAAGAGGTGTTAAATGCAAATGTGTTAGTGATATACTACTAAGACTGCCATATACTGTAATGGTATTGATCCTCGTGGTAATGGTGGCAATTAAGTTGATGCTTGTGGCGAAGGTTGATAATGGGTGACGTGATTGGTCAATTTAGCCAGGTAGAAACCCGTAGCAACCAATAATAACATCAGGTTTCTCTCAGTTCAGGTACAGTACGACTTGTATTTCCTCCCGTCGACAGGTGAGTGTATTTACGAACATAGAATACGCGCTTAAAGACCTTAGTGTTGAAGCGCAATAAAGCATTATAACATCAATAAATTTTCGTCACACTTTTAAATACAGACTTTACATTACGTTGTAAGATGTCAGGTGCTACATATGGGATCATTGGTTCCAACGAATATTAGGATAAAAGATTTGTAGTAGTAGCAGAAATAACAGTAGTGTAGTAGTAGTAATAGTGAGAGGAAGTAGTATCACGTGTATTAATAATTATAATGGTGGTAGTGGTGGTAATAATAATAACAGTGGGTTGGAAAAAGTCCCAGGCTTCGAGGTGGTGTTGACGGAGACTCGCGTCCACAGCTGTGTAAGGAGACGTCAAGCTGTGTTCACTGAGGGATGGCGAAACTTACTCACCTGGGAGCGAGAAGACACCGTATTTGTAATGGTGCCACATGACTTTCCATTCTGGTTTATCTTTCTTTATATTCACCTCTTGATAATCATAAATATTGTATTCACCACTAAAATAAAGGAAACGCTGATTAGTCTCCATATTTGTTTCTGGAAAATGAATTCATGAATGTTGTCCGTTCTATGCTTAACACAATAGTAATACTGTGTCTTTGTACTTATTTGAAACACCTATCACGGTCCGTCTCTAATAAGAATGTCTAAAGTTTTGCGCTACATCACACGAAGCACTGAAATTGCTTAGTTCCTGGATATACCAAAGTTTGTCAACTTAATGAGAATGTCCAAAGTACAGTTCTCAGACAGCTACACCGACATTCAGACGCTTCACTTACCAAGATATACTAGAACGTCTATTATTACCCCTTTTCATAGTACAGAAGGTTAAAGGGGTGATATGGGAGAATTTTATTCGATTCTTAAAGGCTAATACCCGCTGCAATAAACGGCTGGCCCCCCCACTCGAGATTAACGCCTTAAGTTAAAGAAAATATCAGTCCCGTATAGAAACTGCCGGTTACAGTATTTGGAGTAAGAGTTGTGAACCTAAACTAACCTAACCTGACCTGCCAGCGAAAGTTGCGACAACTTCAAGTGTGATCTCCTTTAATTCAGATTAAAGCTATACTGGTTTTTGCATGTTCGCGTAGTATACAGTTGGCGGGTGTGTGCCGTGAGGACTGATCTGATGAAAAGTGCATCTTTGCGTGTGATGGATTATTATTATTATTATTGTTATTATTATTATTATTATTATTATTATTATAATTAGTAGTAGTAGTAGTAGTCATAATAAATGTGAGTGGTATTGATAGTAATAATAGTACACTTTGTAATAGTATTATAGTATTATTGATGTAACAGAACAAAACTACATTTACAGTTGGGAAAGTGATGGCAGTTGGGTGCATTGCCAATTACACTGCCTAATTGTACAACAAAGGGGGGGGTTCATTCTATAGTTAATACCGTAATACCAACCACAATTTGTTTTCACCTATTGCGTAATCACTAGCATTCCTCACTCCTGCCATAATAACAATAGATTAGATTAAATATTTCCAAGCGGAAGACTCTTATTATGACATTCCCATCACATAAACGCTACGATAATAGAAGGTTGAAGGCTCAAATTACTAACAATGTAATTATCTCATAACCCCAAGTCGTTAATGTTCTGAATGTTATGTAACTGTTATCTCAAACATGGAAGCCTATATTAAGCGCACAGTAAATACAGTTCATTTGTTTACAAGACCATAACAAACTCGACTGGCGGGAAGACGATAGGTGTAGCCTCAAGCTTATGGATTCAGCATAGCCGTCTTAACCACCCCGGAGCTACGTTTAAAGGAATCATAAATATCTTGAATCATATACTGTATATAACTGTACACTTGTGTGAAGAGCGTTATAATTGCAGAAGAGCAGCACGTGACTCCCTCTGCCATATTGCCCAGTAAGAGAAAGCTATGAACCTCACTTTCACACTTTCTTGAGTTAATATTGAACTTTTATCATATTTTCCACACTGGTAATATGTAAGGTCTCACATTTACGTACTCTAATGCATAATATATAATCATACTTTATCTAATATGTATATTGAAAGATTAAACCATAGATATAAATTATGTAGCTTTTTTCAGTATGTGCTGCAACTTGGCACCTCACGTAGCTACAGGTATAAATAGGAGACAGCAGGTGTAAGGCTTCAGTTTCAAGTGGAGTATAGTAGTGAGCACAACATGAAGATAGCTTTAGTGGTAAGTTGTCATCTTTTCTCCGTATTATGTGATGATACATTATAAGGATATCACACGAGCACATTGTTTTCATTTTAGTTATGGTTACTCTCTAAGTTAAATATGTTGTATATAACTGATTAAACACGCAAATTGCATACACATCCTAAATCTACCGTTCTTGGATATTACTAGATTAAAAGATAGGGACAAAAATATAGCCAGGGATATTGGCAGCCAGACATACTTTATAATTTATCCTCTTTGCTATTGATGAGTCTCAGATATTAATATAAACACGTTACTCTGGTTGACAGGTCGTGGCGGTGGTGGTGATGGTGTTGGGTGACGTGAACGGGATGCCCCAGGGTGGAGGAGGGTACAAGCAACCTGAAGGGTATTTCCAGTATGTCAACGTGCCTGCCCACAAGGAGTACGAGTTTGGTTGGAATCGTGGTAACCCTCACCACTACATCTCCCGCTTTGAGCAGGCTAAGGATCACCGCTTCCGTACCAGGGTAAATAATGCTTCACTTTACATCAGTTACCCCTTTGAAAAATTACTTTACATCAGTCACCCCTTTATTGTTTTTGTTTTATTAATCATCTTATTGCATCTGTATTATTTACCATATACTTTTTGCTGGTACTTAAATATTTTCAATCATACGAAGTTATTTATTCCCTCTGGCTTAACAGGAGTCAGGATTTTATCGAAGTTGTTCCTGTATTGCTTGTTTTATGAGCGCTAAGTTCCTCTAGTTATGTATTCCTTGGATCACGTGAGGATTAGTCCCCAGCTTATCACCTCAAGATTAACCACACTGGGGGGCTAATCTTCATGTGGCTTTTTTTAGTTTTAACTTTTAACTCAACCTTAATCCCGCAGGTGAAGTGGTCAGATACCTACGGTGGCTACGGCGAGCACTACTGGGAGTACAATCACGCCCCTAAGTACCCCGAACACAACACGTACAAGGACCCTGAACCCTCCTACGGACATCCTGAACCTTCCTACGGACACCCTGAACCTTCCTACGGACACCAAGAGCTCTCTTACGGACCACCCAAGGGTTACCCATCTGAGAATATTCCTGTCATTATCGCGGACCCTCACGACATCCAGTTAGCGGAAGGTGGTGGTGGTGGTGACTACTCCGCTGCTCGGGAATAAACACAGCCGTGTCTTCCTCTCGCCCACGCCATCATTCATCTCCCCCGCCTCACCTGGATATATTATGGACCAGGTGACCCCCACAGGTGTGAGGTACAGGTGCCCACAGGTATAAGTTACAGATGTCCACAGATGCAACAACTATTTGAGGAGCCTCTGATAATGGGCAAATACCTCCCTGGTCTCCCCAAAGGTCGATATTGTATGTTGATTTATATTTAAGTAATGGTCTTCACTGTACATCTTGGGAGACGAGTATAAGTATAAATGTTTCCTCCTTAACCCCCCCAACAGCCCCAGACCTTCAAAACTAAAATTACCAGTAGTTTAAAGCCCGGAGAGATTATTTGTTGTGACGAGTTTAAAGATTTCCTCCAAAATATGTGGTCAGATTCTACGACGGCAGGTCCCGCCATCACCCGAGTCTGACACACTAGCACTGCAAGATGTGTTGGGCTACCGTTACAGGCGGGGTTTATCTCTAGTCTAGTCCCGGGGAGTGGATGCCCGCCCCCACACGGCCTTCCACACATCCACAACCCACCCAGCCCCGCCCACTACTACCCACATATCCACCCAGGCTTACCCATATCTCGCGCATATCTGATTGCTTACTCATAGCATACTTGTACCCACAACCATTCACCCACACGGCCTACACATCCACAAGCCTCCTGCACCCCCACAACCGACCCACATACTCAGACCAACCAGTACAACCACAACCCGCCAACATATTCATCCCCACACTGACCCTCACTGAAGATGTTGACTGTGAACAACATCAAAACACTTATTTATAGAGATCAAATCCTTAAGTGAGTTTGTAGACAAAATTCTCTCGTCACTTGTTTCTCTGTATACGTATGTTTTTGTGTGTGTTATTTAGTGACAATATTTACGTTCAGAAATACATATTGAAGGTTACGCTTTTTGTGCCTTGTTGACCTAGTTATCGCTGTTATTATTATATTGTTATTTTTTGAGCATTTTTGTAATAAAATGATATGAAGAATTTGTTATCTTATTAAACCTGACCACAGATACATTGTAGCCTCGCATTTATTATCACACGTCACCAGAGATACACTGTAGCCTAGCATTTATTATCACACGTCACCAGATACACTGTAGCCTAGCATTTATTATCACACGTCACCAGAGATACACTGTAGCCTCGCATTTATTATCACACGTCACCAGAGATACACTGTAGCCTAGCATTTATTATCACACGTCACCAGATACACTGTAGCCTCGCATTTATTATCACACGTCACCAGAGATACACTGTAGCCTAGCATTTATTATCACACGTCACCAGAGATACACTGTAGCCTAGCATTTATTATCACACGTCACCAGATACACTGTAGCCTAGCATTTATTATCACACGTCACCAGAGATACACTGTAGCCTAGCATTTATTATCACACGTCACCAGATATACTGTAGCCTAGCATTTATTATCGCACGTCACCAGAGATACACTGTAGCCTAGCATTTATTATCACACGTCACCAGATACACTGTAGCCTAGCATTTATTATCACACGTCACCAGAGATATACTGTAGCCTAGCATTTATTATCACACGTCACCAGAGATACACTGTAGCCTAGCATTTATTATCACACGTCACCAGAGATACACTGTAGCCTAGCATTTATTATCACACGTCACCAGAGATACACTGTAGCCTAGCATTTATTATCACACATCACCAGTTTCCTATCTGTAATTTCTTTTGAACTACACACTCCAACGATCGAACTAGAGTATATTGTATGTTGACCAAGAACGTTGAGATAACAGTTTACAATACAAAAATCTTTCTATTGATTCCTGTAGGGGTACTGGCGTTGATTCTAAACTGCTGCAATTGACAGGTTTAGATGTATGGTAAGTTAACTGAGATACAAGATAAATCATTACCCTTTGGTGTGGTGTATGAAAAATGGGAAACTATTTATCCTTACGTAATTCAGTTAAGTTGTTCTCAGATCCTTTACATGACGAATTCCTTTAACATAATGGTAGATTCATCCACGTACCCCACTCCTACTATGTTCTGGGCAGCGTCCCACTGGGGCTTATAGTGACCCCAGAGTGCACAAATGTTCCAACATGAGAAAATCAGAAATAATTTCCCAGGGGAGATAAATTTTACATACCAAATGATAGATTGAAAAAAAAATCTTACCAGACAATTACACACAGAGAAAACCCCAGCTTCTTAACAGTTGACAAAATTCCACCAGGTCAAGTTTTTTTAAGTCCTAACACTCATGGACGAGATTGAAGTCACTTTGCTGTAGTTTTTGTCTGCACATTAAAGAACATAGCACTTTGGCATACCTGGAATCTGAAGGGAATCTGGGTAGAGACTATTTAGTGATACATTTCTCACGCGTTTTAAGAACTCACAGTAAGTGATTTACCTAATTTATCTCATGACCACCCAAATTAGAAGTGGCCATGAGGGGGCGGAGGGAGTCCTTATATTGTTCTTGGTAGTCTTATCCAAGGCTTGAGTTTGTAGATTATTCCATAAGTCTACCACCCACTATGTGAAGAAGTATTTCCTTGCATAATTCGTCCTGCAAGACATTCAAATTATTTCCTCCCGTGTCAATGGTTTAACATCCGGAAATGGCCTGTTAACGTCTTCCATCCTTTTAAAGAATTTGAAATTGAATGAAATCTTTGGTAATGTTTAAGAAATGTCTTTAAGCGGGTTCAATATTCATGAAACTTTATATAACCTTTACAAGAATTTTCTTTATAGTTAATTTACCTTAGAATACGTGTCAAGTCGGAGTTCTTATTTCCGTATTGACTAAAGGCAAAAATCTTATTAAATTATTGAATATAAAGATAATTTTCATAATTAATTCTAATTTATATATAAATAGTATTTAAAACATAAACATAAAGGTATTTTTTATTTATTTAAGCTTTATTTAGTTATTTAATGTTCAACATTATATAACACGGGTTTAAGATTTTCAATTGTCACTGGTCGGAGTCAACGTAAACATGTCGGGTCTCCTGGTGAGTCTGTCTGTCTGTGTCTTATATTATATCGTCCAAGGCCAGTATGGTGTTGATTATAGGCAAGACCATTTTAGACGCCACAGCCAAACATGTTAGAATATCATAAACAGTTGTGTTAGAACTTTTATTAAGCAAACAAGACATTGGCTGGATCTCCCCCCGGCCTAACTATATGTCAGAGCTGTCAAACTAATGCTGTTGGTAACTCTTAATGGATTAATTTGAGAATCTGGCTGGTGTTTTAGGCATAATTTTGAGGATCTGGTTAACATTTGAAGTAAAAATTAACTGTGATTTTTAAGGTAAGTGGAAGAACTACAGTATATAATATTCAGAATTTTACTTGAAAGAAAACTTGGGGAAATTTTGTAATTATCGAGATTGTACAAGAGTGTTGTGGTGGACCAGGAGAGTCCCACATAAACCACCTATTTTTGACTCGTAATGTTGAGGACTCGGCAAATTGGTAATAGGAGTAGCAGTTTTCATATTTTTTCTAACTTTTTTTTTATTGAACACTAATGTGCGCTCACCTTTAACTTTCTGCCAATTCCACTTTGTTTTTATACAAATACTTTCAGTGATTGTTTCATTCTTACAAATGCTTCTAGCAAATGTTTTGTAATATGATGGGGTAATTCTCCAGATCTGCACGTTGATACTCTGTGGTAATGTATGAGAACCGCAACCACCAGAAAGAGTTTGATTTCACTCATTTTTTCCAAAGATTTTCTTATTTTAGTAAGTATTTTAAAAGAGCCGACATTTACTAGAAACTAATAAAACCTGACCTAACCAATCAAAGGAACCAACCTAACTTCCTAGCAGGGGGGGGGGGGTGCTCTGTCCCTGGACCTCCTGCCATATTAACCAGAAAGTACTTATTTTGATATCTGGTACTAATGAAAGCTACTTAGTTCAAGAGAAATAATGTAATTTTTTGTTTTTTGTAGATGTAGAAATAAAAGAAAGAACATGGTTGTATGTATGAAAAAAAATTTCAACTTTCCCCTTGGCCAGACTTATATTCCAAGTATAGAAATAAACTTAACAATTATGAACCCTTCAGTATACTGTATATTGTTAACCTTCTTCTTAATTTTTGCAATTCTTAATAATGATGACAGTCGGGTAGGAAGAGGAAATTAGTTGCCTTAATAATGATTCACTTCTTCCTAGGAACCAACGCTCTATGTGATCAAGGGTATCGCCATCCTCGACAATGATGGCAACCGTCTCCTGGCTAAGTACTACGACCCGAACGTCTTTCCAACAGTTAAGGATGAGAAGAAGTTTGAGAGGAACTTGTTTCAGAAGACACACCGGGCCAACGCTGAGGTCATCATGCTGGATCGATTAACTTGTGTTTACCGTTCCAATGTTGATCTCTTCTTCTATGTTATGGGGCTGTCGCATGAAAATGAGGTAGGTTGTATTTCAAGGATTGTTGTTATGGGCAAGTGCCGGTATCACTTATGTTGTTGAACTACCTATGGCAGAGTTGATAAAAATGTTGAGATATTTACTTGGGGAAGACTTGAATTAGGCATAAAGTTTGAGTGGCTAGACCAGTGGCTTTTTATGACCATTTTATTCTCAGGGTTATCATACCTGGCTCAGCACACATTTATAACAATGATAACATCATCTTGGTTTGCTTGACCGTACATACAGCAATTGAGAGAGGGAACCATGTATGACTTCTTGTAAAATTTTGAGAACGACGACAATTAATATTAGGCTTAATGTAAGGTTTAGTTGGTTTAGTTAAATTAGATCATGACAGTGTGGTTTTGATACCTGTCAAAATTAGTAATCCTCTTGATTCTTATATATTTACTGTGTATGTTTTGAAAATGTGTTAGTGTCATCTCCTGCAGAGAACTTACCAACTTCTGTTATTTCAGCTCATCTTAGTGTCAGTGTTGAGCTGCCTCTATGATGCTGTTTCTGCAATCCTGAGAAAAAATGTGGAGAAACGGACACTGTTGGATAACCTTGATATTATAATGTTAGCACTGGATGAGATTTGTGATGGAGGGTGAGTGAATTTATCATAATTGTCTCTTGATTAGGATATGCTGTTTGTAACTCCTAATTTGTAATAATAATCTGATTGGGAAGGGTTCTTTTTAGTTTAGCATTGTCCCACTTGAGTAAAATTTGATGTGGCATTTAAAACTGACTGTACCCTACACATATTTTAATGATAAATGGTTTAAAATTACCTTTGCAATTATTCTCATCTGTTAATGATATTTGTTTGTGTTGCTCCTTTAGTATCTAGTTTTATGAATCTTCCTTGTGTATAAATGGGGTTCAGTTGTAACTCAGGTTTTATTGAGGTACTGTGTGATGAAGCTATAACACGATACTTAATCTTAAAAATCTAGTATTGTTAACCAGACTCTTGTCTGGTCTTGTAAAGGGGACACAAACTTCATCCACAGTCTGTGGTTTCCTCTTGTTGGAAGGGATTTCAAAGTATGGTCATTAACCAAAGACCTCAGACCTCTTGTATTTTAGTAGGAAGGGATTTTTTTTATTAGCTCATGGCCTCGGGAGAACTCGGTCTACCCCAGGAATCAAACCCGGGACAAATAACTGTACTGTACTAGCAGGATGAATGCCCTTCTATTCAACTGTGGAGTTATAGTACAAGTTGTTAGAATATGACTTCCATGATAAATGTGCATCAGTGATAATATTGACAGTTCATAAATAGGGAGGAAGTTAGAGGTTAATTATTTTCCTTCCTCCACAGTGTACCACTTGAGACAGACCCTCAGGTGGTGAGTCAACGTGTGGCACTGCGGATAGAGGAAAGCCCCTTCAATGACCAGACAGTTACTCAGGTTTGTGGATTACTCATACAGTATGTAGTAGTTTTGTGGAGCTTGAATTAGAATTGGCTGAGAAAACAGGATTCAAATTTTTTAAGATTTAACTTGTCCGTTTTGTTTCTCATATAGTATAGTCATGTATATTTAGTTATAGGGGAAAGTAATTTTAATAGAACACATAATGATAATAGAATATTTGATAGATATTGATGTTGGAAGCTCTTTCTTATTAGTGTATATAATATGAATGTCTTAAAGCAAGCTTTTGTTCAGTCAAAGCCATGTAGGTTTTAATGTTCGCCTTCATAACATTATGTCTTGCTCATCAGTAGTGAAAGGTGATCACTTAATTAATGTCCTCAGATGTAACAATATAAACCAGTAATGAGGAAGCTTCTCTAACTCTCACGTGTGAATATTATCATAAATGGAATAGCTTAACGATCATCAATCATTCGTAGGCTTTTTTGGTTGGTTTTTCCTAAGATATGAATGGCATCTGTACCCTCCGTCACAGTTCGTCAAATTACTGTAGTTTGTTTTTAAAAATTTGGCCCGCTAATTCCCATCAGTACGTCAAAGCATCCTATTTAATTCATTAAATGTTGTCTATCTTCCTCCTACCTTGTTGCTGATTATTTGTGGTGGTTTTATTCTCAGTCTTCATAACACAGTCCACCTATACAGTCCTTTAACCTGTGTTAGATATCCATTTCGTATGTCATGGCAGGTTTGTGGAGTAGAGGTTATCCCCGAACACTTCAGACCCAGTATTTCCTCACACCTCTTGAATCAAAGACAAGTGACCCGGTACAAAGATCTGAATATGTATTTTTTATTTAGTTGTTGGTGTATGTGAAGCATTTACAGAGTGGCTGAGTTGCAGGATTTTTAGTGTGTGTTTGTGTGAGTTTCTTTAGGAAGTTAGTGATATGTGTGGGACTGTGGCCAAAGAAATAAACCATAAGTGGGAGATAAATAACCTTAAGGAAAAACATAAATTTTGAGACAGTTTTCTTTAGTTCTTGGGGAATAATGCATCCAGAGTCAACAGTGTGATCACCTTTATATTTATCATCAGTTTTATCTCATTGAATCTTGCACTCACTGTCTGCTTTAATATTCTGTGCTTGTGTCTGCTTCATCTCTGCCTTTGGCTTTTGTGAGTTTGAGAAAAAGATTGTGATTTATTATTTACTCTTTTGCATTCTACACACCTAATTATAATGCAGAATTTCTTTTTTGTGTTTTCTTGAAATTTTGTTTTTAATGAAAGGAAGTGTATTTAATATGAACACGTTTTTCCACTGACTAGAATATTTTATGAAATTTAGGAAACATTCTTATCTTTCCCAGGTCATCCTTTTATAGCATTATGTAGGGATGTCCAGAATAATGGAAATAACAGTACAACTATGCTTTTGCCATCCCTTCCTCCTCTGAAAAGATGTGAAACTATTGACCCTCAGGCATGACTTCCTGTTAGGGACAGTGTAAGTGCCCAGTCACAGGGGGAGTATCCCTTATACTAATGTTTAAACCCTTCACTACTGGATGCAACTTTTACTGCTGTATTTTATTTGGCTGATGCCAGATGATTTTATTCAACACAGAGAGACCCCTCATACCCAAGGGGTTAAAAAAACTAAAAGTTTAATTTTGACTATGCTATACTATTATAATATCCACTAAAAATTTAAAACAGTATAACTTGAAACTGGAGGAGTTTAATCTAAAATACACCCTAATTAAGTATTACAGTGGTAAAAAGTTTATTCAGAAACATTTAATACTAACATATGGACTATACACTAGTTAACTGTACAGGAAAAGTGAGTGGAGTAAGTACAGTATTAACAGTCCAAAATGATGACAGTATCTTTCCTTTGGTAGTTACACGGTCACCATGTAAGACTGGTTGGCTGATCACCTGAGATTTAAAAGTTCTTATCAACAGCCACCTCATAGAGCCTGACGGTGACAGCGAGCCACTCAGAGATGCACCTAGCTTTTGTGTGTGTATCACTGCTTGTAATCATACACCACCTGAGTTGTGTTCTTAATGCTCTATGTAAAATAAGGCTTTAGCATCCAGTGTAAGTTTGAACATCATTTTATTCAGGGAAACCATACGAGTTAAACAAATACAGTATGTACACTGTAGTTATGATTCTTTGTGATCGTGGTGTGAAGGGTAATCTAGTTACCCTGTATCTAATTTGATTGGGATTTAGATGCCAGTCATAAGTTAGACTGACTATACTGAGTTGCTCAATCCTGACTGTTATAAAGAGTACTTGAGAAATCAGAATTTTTGTATCACTGTACCATTAGTTTCCCCATTTTAATCTAGTCTCTGAAAAGAAATAGTGAAAACTTCTCAATCTAAACTTGGATTGTATTCCAAATTTATATATGATTATTTTAAAAATGGAATACTGAACTGTACTCTATTTAGAAATTAAGAAAGTTATTTTCTCGATACTGTAATGTTTTTTGTTGACTTTTTGTTTTTATAGTCTGGTTCAGATTATCCTGCTGGAGTAGTAGTAAATGATGTGTGGAAAGTATTAGGTGATACAAGTTGGTGTCAGCTGCCTTACTAGAGTAATAAGTGGTGCAAAAGGTGTTAGCTTGACTTCTGAATAGGCAGATGATGTGAATGGTTTAACAGCAGTGGTAAATGGTGTAAGGTTTTGTCCCTCTCCAAATTATCTTGGAATTCCTGTTTTCTAGCTGGTTCAGTTACTAATGGGCACTCCCTAAAACTACCCATTCTTCTCTTTCTTCCATGTAAGTCAAGCATGACTGGCAGAGCTCTTTGGGTTTGCTTGTGAATGAGACACAACCATAAACCTTTTTCCAGTAAATTCTGTTCATGAATACAGAACCCACATTTATTGTGTTTGTTTATGTTCTGTAACAATTATGACAACCACTAAGCAGATAACTCTGTTACATGTTTCAATCTGTAAATTTGGCCATGCATTCTTGCCTGATATTACTAAAATTACTGACTTTAGTATAACAGTATGAACTTGACTTGTTTATGTTCTATCTTATAATTTTCATTTCTCGAAAGTACCAAGTGATGAAATTTTCTCAATTTCTTCCAAATAATGTTTTTTCACAACATGGAGAATGGTTAGTGAGAGTAACTGTGCACTGTTTTATTGGCCTGTGTTCAGTCCCAGGGTACAGCTAAGTGGTTCTCATGACATTCATGGCCAGGCATTAAAGTAAAAAATTGTGACCTAAATAACCCTACACCAGACTGACAAGCTGCTAGGTGGCTACAGGGAGGTGGTGGGGATGTTACTTGTCTTTAAATTTCTTTTTGTTGTCAAAAGTTTGCTCCAATATGTCTTAAATAAGTTGATGAATCCTTATTTTATAACAAAGGTGTGTTCTGTCTTAACTAGTACTGTATACAATAAGAATTTGACCTTGGATGGAAATACTGTACACTTTTTTTTACATTAGGAAAACTGGATGATACACATTTATTTCCTACATTATTTTGTGCTGATAAACTCCAATACAAGCAATAATACAAACTTGCTGAAAGTTTTAGGAGTCAATTCTTGCATTTTTTCACTTTTGAAGTCTTGTCTCATCGTAATGTTGTACTGGCTGGCCAGGATCATGAGCTAGTACAGACTCTCTATTCATTTACCAGCTTTCAGTCATTCTTGACCACAAATTCAGAATCATGATCACATTAAGAGGATCTTGATTTTACCCTTTGAGTCCTGGTTTAGGAGAGTAGCCAGCATCCAACCTTATGTATACTGGCATCGTTGTTGTGTTATTCCTCTGTAATTCATTCTCCTGTTCTCGTCTCCTCATACCTCTGTGTTCTCTCTCCCTTCTTGTGTGTTCTTTCTTTTGTTTGTGTTATATCTTCTATCTTGGCTTTCTGAAGCTCAAGTCAGCCACACGTGTTTGTTAACCATTGTCCTTTCCATCAATATCCTGTCAACCTTTCACTATCAAGCCTTCAGTTGATAGTCATTTCATGTTTGCTCTATCAGTTATTTACGTGGTTCGTATTTAAATCCTGGCACCGAAGTTTGTTTTATTTTTTATTATACAGGTACCGGTTATGTTAATGAAAGGTTTGACTATGATCTTCAGTTTAAACACACAACAGAAAGATGAATTGCATCATCTCTTAACCATAAGTTCAGTCAATGTTCTTAGTCATGAATCCCTTGACCACAAACCCTGACATTGCTGTTTGTTTGTTGTGCCTATCGTGCTGAAGGCCGGCAGTTAGAGGCACAAGAATAATATCTATCCATCCGTCTGTGCTTGTGTGTATCTATCCATCCATCTTACAGACACAATGATATGAGGAACTAGAAATAGATTTATGTGAAACTGAACGTACGGCATCCATAACCCAACGAGACACCAGATGCGTTCAGTAATCGGTAATTTGCCTCCGTACTTTGGGAAGTTTGTCCTTCCCAAATGTAACCCTCAGGACCCTTAGGATCACTGTGTTTATTATTTACCAACATGATAATTCTTCCCATATAAATACAAATTTCAATGAGCCAGTAATTATCATGACAAATATATGTACATTACGGGGATTTCGCCTCTGAATTTTTTTCCCACATAAAAAGTTGGTGGGACATTTGTGGGTTTATTTTGATTATAATTTTACATGATATGTCCCACGTATGTTGTATTTATAGTCATCCATGAAATTAGCAGCCTCGCACATACTCTACCCTGACCATATGACGAGTATGGTATACCATTTTGTTTGGCAGTTTTTGTCGTCTGTATCCGTTTATCATTCTTATCGTATGTTGAGGTTCCGTTATAAGAGGTTTTTTTCGATCTTATATAGACTGAGTCATTGTAATACCCGTTTGTTTTCATTCAGAACATGATACCTACATCCATCCATCTCTTGTTGTCGCGTCTCATGCTTTTGTTTCTCCTCCTTCTTCATATACGTACAATTACCTTATTAATTCTCAAACTTTCTTCCAAATTTCTGTTAAACCCTTTTTTCTTTATTGCTGCTGGTAGATGTTAACTTCATGGTAAATTATTGGTATTTATAAGAATGTATGATGTATGTGGGGTAAAAACCATCGAATAAGATAAGTGGTTTCCTTATACAGTACTGTATTTAAAGTATGGTGATATAAAACCTTTACCAATATAGTCACAATTGATTTGGGACACCTCTAAGCTTCAGTGATTAATGGTGGTGGGGATTTGTGCAGAAGGATGCCATATCATTTGCATAGACAAGAAGTGGCTATGTGAGTCACTTTTCAGATTAGTTGAAATTCTTGGTAATGTTCTTGGAATTCCGCAGGATATCTTGAGCTGTAAGCAGTCCATAAGTGAACCATAGTTTACATAGTCAGTTAAGTTGTAAGTTGAAGACATCTTGCTGTCATTCTTGCACTCGTTTCTGATATGTGAAAACATCAGAATCCTTAGAGACAGATTTTTGTGCATCATGTGGGTGTTATTAGTATCTAACATTTTGTGTCCTGCCACAAGGAATGTGGCAGCCAAGTGGACACAGCACTTGCCTCCTGCCTTAAAGCTTCACTGGTTCATGCCCAGGGAATCCCTAGTCCACCTGCCTGTGAATGGATACTTAACTTTACAGTTGAGGAAATGGAAGTGGTGGAGTGCAGTGCCTTCATCACTGCATCCTTTTTGTATTGAGAAAAGGCTTAGTACTAAGTGTGCTGTGTCCACACTGCCTCTAATGGACTGTCAGGCCTATGGGACTCTTTCACATGTGTAGAAGGGGCACATAGTACTGTACTGTACTGTCTGTTGGTACATATGTATTAACTGACTCTTTCCCAACACTGCAGTATTGGATATACAGAACTGTATGTAATTAGAAAATGTCACATGCATCTTGATTAGTGCAGCATGACACCCTAGTAGGTTACTCTCATCTACAATTTAGTACTTTTCAGCCACTACAATGTTCAGTTTCTGGTTAATGTTGGTGTGAATCTCAATTTAAAAATTTAACTTGCTTAAGTCAACCACCATTGATGAGTCATGGAACATATACGTGTAGGTTGACGAGTACTGTAGTACTTATAAACTTTGGTTCCCGTTATTAGTCAGTGTACAAAGCAGAATGTGCCTTTTCTATGAACACAGGTATTTCAAGTTTTCAATAGTATTCTGACATCATAAGTACAGCATTATAATAATACTCTCTGTCCCAAGATGTAACCTTTATCATAGGCTTAACAAAAATCATGAATTTGGGACATATGAGGCAATTCAGTGGCTTCAGAAGTTTTACACACCGAACTGATTCATTGATCAAAAGTTGCAGCAGTTTTTCCTGTCACTGGGCATTATATACGTATACATTATTAGTATGTTTTTTTTTTCTGTTTGTTTTTTTAGTTTGTGTGAATTACCGTATGTACTCTTCGACAGGGTTTTCTTTTTTTTCTGGAGGGGGCGACAAATATTTAACAAGCAAGTTATGTATGTGTGTGTGTGTATGGGAAAGTACCAGCATTAACAACACCAATTTGTAGTGGTAGTCTTTAGTTAGGTTCTGTGAGTGAGATAATTTTGTGAAATATAACTTTCTGTACTGTTCTCTCTTCAATGTTATACCTTCCTTGAATTCCTGTCTTTTGAATGGATAGGTATAAGTGCATGCCTGGGAGGGTTGTGGGCACTTTACTGTTCTCTGGTGGGGATTTGTTATTGTAGCCCCTAAGACTTGCCTGTTATTTAAGGACACAGCTTATAAAAAAACACCGCCCAATGGCCCTGAAATTGTTTTTTTTTTTCCAGAGAAGGTCTTGAGGCATATGGGTTAAGTCAAATATTAATTTTTTTGATTGAAAGAAACAACATTTGGATCTTTGGTTTGGTGTCAGTCCTTTACCACACGACATTCCCAGTGACATGATTCATTGTTGAAAATTGGCCTTAGTAAGAAAGGCTCCAGGGAGGGAAACAAATTGGAAAAAAATCATAATTAAAGGAAAGTGGTTAAAAAAATGGACCTTGGTTTGGGGAACCTTACCTAAATACTGTACAGTACAATACTGTATTAGTTAGGAGAGACCATTTCCAAAACCTACCTGCCCTCCAGAATGTTACATCCTCAGTGTGGTCAACGTTTGAAGACCCTCCTCTCCTTCTCCCTCTTACCTTCCTCCTATGGTGTTTGTGCATGTTTTCACAATTAATTTCCCCTCTTGTCTTGGACTCAGTAGATTTTGCTAATGGGATTCTGAGGCATGTACACCCCTGCTCACAGGTAATGTATCTTCTATAGCCATTGCATGTTCATTACTTTTAGATGTAAGAATTTTTATGTAAAAGATCAGTTGGCCTTAGCCTCAGAAGAGCTACTGTGGATGACTTTCTTGCATGGTTTCTCTCATTAATTTTTCCTTTCTTTGGCCACATTTACCACTTTTTAACCTGGATGTTTTGTTCTATAGCCATGATAACAGGGTCCTTTTGTATCAGTTGTACTGTCTTTAGTGTTATGTCTATAGTACTGTACTCTGTATGTATGAATTGCTTGTTATTTTTCTATTAATCCCCTCTACCTGCAGAACAGTTAGGTAATGTATCTTTCAAAATTACTTAAGATCAGGAAATTGGGAAAAAAAGTGGGAATGATGTGAATTGGAAGTGAAGGAGTGAAATAGATGACTATAGTTGTAAAAATGGGATGTTTAGTTGACAAAAGCTTTTTTTTTTAGTAGTTAATCAAGTTAATCAAATAAAAGGATCCCCCCCACAAAAAAAATCAGTTAATGTGAAAGAAAGAATAAAGAAGACATTAAGTTTATAGACTGAACATGAACGTTGGCACAGTAAAGAAGTTGAAGTATGAATGTTGAAAATTTTTGAGGATACGTATTATAATTTTTGCTCTACTGTACTTGTGGTTAATGAGTACAATATTTAGATAAAGTTTGGAATAAATTATACATCATGTAGGGAAGAATTATGATTACTACTACTGTATCTAATTACTGTACTAATTTGCCATATACATAACTTTTAACACTTTTGTAGTACTTTTTCATTTATGCATAATTGAAAAAAAACATCTACTTTATAATAACGGGTCAGGCTAGACAAGGCTGACTATTAATGGTGATATTAATTTATTGGTTCAGCAAGTGCGGCAGAAACTCGAGACTACCACTGGTGCGGTAAGTGGAGGAGTGATGAGTTGGCTGGGTTTGACGGTTTCTTGCTGTTTGTTTTTCTGTGGTGTAAACTGTGTAGTGGTGAGGCAGTATTTAAGAATCAGTAGAGCATCTGTGACTGAACAAGTGGTGCACAAATTCTTAATAAAAAAAAGAGGAAAAATAACTATGACCAACAAAAAAAAAGGAAAAATAACTATCTGACCAAATATGTCTTATCTATCTGGTTTATATATATATATATATATATATATATATATATATATATATATATATATATATATATATATATATATATATATATATATATATATATATATATATATATATATATATATATATATATATATATCCATTAAACCATCTCCTAGTACAGTTTGGTCTGGGTGACAGAGGCAGAGTCACATTTATCTGTTGTGGATAAAACTCACAATATTTCTCTTTACTCATCACAGTTTTGACTCGAATATTCCCTCGTTTTATCAATATTAACGCCCTCCCCACCTTATGATTCCTATTCTCTGTTATCTTCCATTCTCAAGTCTTCCTTTTCCTCACCTCCTTGCTCTCTTGACACTCTCTCTCTCTCTATTCATTTGTCTATATTCTTATTGGAGGGACAGTCTTGTAGAACTTAACGTTGGCACATTTCTCCATATTTACATCACAGTCATCTCCCTCCTTTCCTTTTTTTCGTGTTCCTCTCCCAGTGTGATGTTCAGCTTCCTCACGTGAACACTGTCTATTATCTATGGAGATGAAAAATGCATAAGATAGAGTTTTGTGAGAAGATAATTATTTTTTCTCTTTGCCTATACTGTACATCCATGGACATTGTTGTATACAAAAATTAAATTTGTATACAGTACAGTACTTGGTGGATTGTATTTTTAAAGGAAGGTGCACTGAAATTACCGTGTTGTAGCAGTTTGTGTTATTTATGGCATTATTCTATGCAGACAACATGTGCACCTGGCCCGGATAAACAGTAATAACTTTACCAAGTATCATTTGTTTGTAAGTATTCCATATTGATGATATCATCTTGATCAGTTACCATAAAAAAAATTTCATGAGTGAAATTTGCATGATGTAACATGTTAATTACTCAAATCATTCAGATTCTGAAGTGTTGAACAGAATAAATAACATTTTGTATCTTTGTTAAATAAGAAGTAAACATTACCTCTTGACTCATTCTTCAGCAATACCTAACATTTATGATGAGAATCATTGCACTAAAGATGTTCATTTAAACAGGTAAATATTGAATGATATTGTATCATAGTTTAGCTGTAAATGATCCTCCATGCCCTGTATACACAAGAAGTTTATCACAACATTTAAATATTGTTTGTTTCAAAAGATGCTGACAGAAGAACTTTGTTGTATATTCTGCCTACAGTTGATATTGAAACTGCCATTATTGGATACATTTTTATGCCCCTTAAAAACACCTGAAAGGAAAGGAAGCTTGTAATTTGATGTTTTCATTCAGTTATTGCTAAGAACTTTTAGATAAGAAATCAAAAAGTTCAGAATGTATCTACTATCCTAATAATAACTTGCGTGTGATTAAACTACTAATATGAATGCACACAAGTATTGCCATTCTTGGGTTGCCTGCAGTACTGTATCTTACTGTTTTCTGGATGACATTCTTCATCTTAATATTAGCTGCAGTAAAGTATCCTTTAACTGGTGTACAGAGTGTGTCATAAGTCACCCACCATAGGCAAATTATTATTATTATTTTTATTATTATTTTTTTTTTTTTGTGAGGGATCATAACAAATTAAGGAAGATGACAGAAAGGCTACACTAGCAGGAGAAGTCAATTTAATAGTCATATACAAAAACCGTGATGCTACTGCACACAATTTAATCAGCATCACCCAAAAACCTGGATGTTGTCACTTAAATTCTTTTTTCGCTGTGTAGCATCTTGCTCTCCGTACATGACTATTAAACTGATGTCTTTTCTCGTTGTCTTTACGCCTCTACCATCTTCGTTGACTTGTTATGAACATTATTTCCAATTACCAGTACAGTACAGTGTTTGTAAAATGTTCCTTTAAGCAGATAAAAATTAAGTAAAGCAGATATCTTCCAGTTGTGTAATTTTGTTTTGTTTTGATAATGCAATCTTTAAAAAAAATATTGATCCCAAGCATAAAGGTGAAAATGATGAATTGAAGTATGGAAAACTTATTGTATTTACACTAAAGTAAAGGGTTGTTTTCATCATTAAAGGCTCTAGTGCCCCATTAGTATTGCAAACCCCCTTAACAAAACAACACATTCATATATATATACCTGCAATGTCAAGCTGCTTTTCTTCTTACCTTTCATCCCGTAAGGCTTGACTAACACTTTGGGCTTGGTTTAATAATTAATTCCTAAACAGAATACATATACAGGTACTATACGTATTTACACTACATAAAGGCCAAAATTTAAATTATGGTAAAATCCCCTGAAATTGAATTTGATCATTGAGTTTCATATTCATTATTTGGATGATTTGTTGGGCACAGTGAGTGTTAAGAGTAAGAGCACAGTGTAGATATATTTATAAGCACTGGCCAGTCAATTTGCATGCTATGAATCATAATTAGAATGGGAATGGTAGTGAAAATAGCAAACATGACTTAACTGTCTTGAATACTTTTTTTTTATCCAGTTTGACTTTGAACACCCATCATAAATATGGGTAAGTCTTAGATACAGCACTGGAGTTTTAACTGTTGTGTTGCACCGGACTATTGCTGTAAGTAGTGCAACAAATACAGGATGAAGAAAGGCCCATTTTATTGCAACTTTGTCTGGTCTGGATTAGTAAATATCTGTACAGAGAACCTTATTTTTTATTTTTTTATTAAATAGATCAAATTTCTCGGCTTCGTGAGATAGGGAAAATGTCAGATGTGCAGGTGGCTATAGTACTCTGATACTATCTGAGCTACACCACTGTATCACTTTAACTCTCAGGAAGTGGCTCTTTATCTCAAATTCATATGGCGATTTCTAGCACACTCTCTTAAGTGGTGCTCATGTTACAGATACCACACTCCTTAAAGGTTACAGTATTGTATTAAATGTTGAGTGTTTCATAATCATTAAAGTATATCAGAGATGATGTGTGAGTTACAGTGTTCAGTTATTTTATCTGTGTGCTTGGTTTTGATGCATTCAAGACCAGCCAGTAATTTATTTATATTTCAGTTATTTGGTTTGACCACTTTCCTAGGCACAATAGTCAGTGGTGAATAAGTACCAATACTGTACTGCCAAATAATTTCTCATAACACAAACCAACCAAACAAATTTACCTACAGTACGACTATAAGGTTAGGTTAAGTGAGAATTATCTGCTTTAAATAAAGAAGTACGTACATATAGATAATTTAGCAGTTCTAATTTATCATCATAATCATTTTACCGCCATTTTCCACCCTTGTTTGTGATGACCACAGCTACTTAATGGCAGCTCTTCTTGCTGGTATTTTTTCTGTGTTAGCCATCTTGCATATCTTACAGCTGCTTTGGATTGATGAAAGCTTACCTCTCACAGATGAAATGGAAGGAATTTATCATGTGAGAGCTCATCATTTTAGATATTCCATTACTAAGAGAGGCAATAAGAAAAACAAGAAGACAATATTCACATACGAAGCATCCAGAATGCTAGGAGTTAGAAACAGCGAAGTGTATGAGGTGTGGCAAAGGGGTGTGTAAATAGTGAAATGGATGATAAAAAAAAGTTTGCCGAGACAGTCTGGGTACAGCATGTGAGAAGGATGCAGGAAGAGGATATTTAAGAGGGCATGAAGGTGGGGTAATGTAGGAGCCTAGATCTTAAATGGGAATGGTAGAACTATAATACATTAAGTAGACTACAGATTTAAGGGAAGGAAGAAGGCAAAGGAGGTGTGTGGTGATGAGGATGGCTGGAGGCTGTTATGTACTTTGTTGTGATCTCATAGTGGTGTTCCCTGGAGGAGTTAAGAGGCATTATAAGATAAGATAGTGTCATGAAGATTATTATGCCCTTTATTTTTTCCATTTTGGTATACAGTAGTACTTTTTTTTTATTAATTGACATAGTGAAATGATTTATATCTACTTTTTTTTTTTTTAAGTTTTTAGGTTTTTACATTATTGGTGGAGCTGCTATTTGTTGTTGAAGTAGCTAAGGTTTACAGTGGTGTGGTATATTTTCTTTTACTCACAGCTAGTCACGGGTGGGTAACATCCATTCTCTCGTGTGTATACTGTACTTGTTATAGGTCACGGACGCAGTATTTCTAGAACGAATGCAGTAAAGTCTCAGATTCAGGGGGTTTTATTTCTCATCTCAAAATGGTGTACTGTACCTGTACCGGGTATGTAGATAAATTTTTACTTGTAAATCAATGTGGATCAATTTCTCCCCAAAACTTAATACGTGTACTGTATTTCCCATTTTTAAAGAGAGAAAAAAATATGATAATTACTTTTCCTCAATAATAGATGTAGCATTTCTATAGACAAGACAGTACATAAAATCATTAAGTTCTCATAAATTTAACTTGAGAGAAGAAAACAGTTTGGTCCCACAAATGTATGATACACTTCACAACGTTCATTAACATCTATACTCCTCGGGTACAAGACAGTTCTCTTCCTGTTTGTCGTGAACTGTGAGCATTGTATACAGTACCTTTGTTTAATGTAACGCCGTACCGACAACACTCTGAAAGTGTTTTTGCCAAAGTTCTTACAGTGTATTGCCAATGGTCTACAATTACAGATATGTCAGATTACCATACCTGTGCAGTACTGTACTTCATATCAAATTGGTTAGAATATTTTGTATCCATATTAGTTCTGATGATAGTGTATGATTACCCCTCTGTGATAATTTTAATGGTGTTTTTTCCTATAACTTTAAATCATTTGTAAAGTCAGATTGATACAGTATATACTTTATTTTCCGATTTTATTTTTTTTATTTATTTTTTTCATACTGGCCATTTTGAGTGTAGAGAGACTGAAATGCAATACAGTACTCCATGTCTTGTTGAAAACTATTCCAGACTTATTTCTATATTTAGACTTCTTGATACTAATTGATAATTATTATACAACAGTAATGCAATAAATGAGTACTTAACAGACACCGTATTAGATTTAGTTTGTGTGTGTGTGTTGTTGTGTAGTCTATTTTATTACTTTTATTACTGGTACTGGCAGTTTAAGGAATTTTAAGTCCCTTTTTTCATGCAATGTTCCCAGTCTTTGTAATTGAATATACATTAACTATAGAATGTTGAATGGCTTGCAACGTGTGTAGTGGAGAATGTTGGTTTAGAATTGCGTATAATGGAATGACGGGGTTTTAATATAATGTGTATGGTAACTTAAGCTGTACTGGATAGGATTGTGAAGCTGTTATATACTTTTGCATATATAGCAGTTGCATCTGTGTATCATTATTCTTATCATCACTGTTTTTAGGTTAATTCTCACACTTTTGTGGGTTAGTCATGATTATCTGATAGCAGTTCTCCATCCAACGTGGTCTCTTGCAGTCTCCTTCATCAAGTTGTTCTCTCTGAGGTCATTACTTACAATCTCCTCTTATGTCATTCTTGGCCTGGTCCTGGCTCTACTAACCTCCACAGTCAAACTCATGTATCTTCTGAGGTTTCCATTCTCTCCACATGCCCAAACTATCTCCACTTCCTTCTATGCAAAACTTCACCACTACTGAACTCACAGTACCCAACCACCCTCTTAGCTCCGAACAGGGTTTCCTATCTTTCAACATCTCAACATTCTCATTTTATCTCACCCAAGTCTATGTATGTCATTCGATGTAACTGCCCATCAAAACAGTTTGATTGTTGACACATCAGTTGTGTTGTTGATGAATTTGATCATTTAAAAACTGGTTTGACAGTTCTGGTCCTTTGAACAGCTTTTAATTCCACATGCAATACAGTATAGCCATATAAACCACACTGCCAGACACAGCTTACAAGACTGAGCTCTAAGTTCTTCCATCACTGTCTTGAAATACTATAATTATTCAGGCAGTATTTACCTGCCTCCTCCTCTCATGGATTCATATTGGATAAACTTAACAGGACCTGGTAACAATTAACATCTCATTATTCCTCAAGACGATTTACCCAACTGAGGGGCCTACACAGGGACTTCATGTATTACTGTATAGTTGGTACAGGTATTGGCAACTTTAAACATAAAATTATGGTCACAATTTTAATAAATTACTGATTAACTAGTTCACTCACATCAGTAATATTTGCAATAAAGGTGATGGAATATTGGTTGTTGCATTTGTGTGTTTGTGTGTGGTTTTTGGCTTGCTTTTTTTTTATTTGCTCTTTCAAAATATTTTGTCTATTTTAGCTCTTTGTGAGAGATATTCCTAAAGATTTCCTTAACAAACTCTGTTGTTTCATATTTTCATTTTAGATTTGCCTTAATTTTTCATGCAAATGAAAGTGTTTACCAATACTGAATGGGGGAGTTTTCTCTTAAGAAAAATATCAATAATGTTTATTATACTGTACTACTTTGAATATTTCAAGGGGAAGTTCATTACCATCACTTCTCTCACACAGGTCTTGCAGTCAGCCCGTGAGCAGCTCAAGTGGTCATTGTTAAAGTGATGAACTGAGAGCAGGCATTCTGCTAGTTGTTATATGACCTATACTTTTTCTAAATAGATGTATTGTAAATGAAGGTTTTCAACAATATTTGAAGATAATTTCTTTGGTATGTGCTTAACGTGTACTGTATTTTGAATGATATAAAAATTGGATTTCATTGATTGAGGTTGACATACAGTACTGTGTATAGTAAGGAGTTATTTATATACCCGGTAATACAGGTATCCTTTTTTTTATTACTTTTGGGTATATTTAGATTGTTTTTCTTTTCCTGGTGTACAAAATACAGAGTACCCTGTATCTGAAAGGGGAAGTGTTATTTAAAGTTTTGTGACCAATAGCATATAATTTCTGTAAACATTCTTCACACTTGTAATATTTCATGTATCTTTAGTGGAATATATAAATTTTATATGAACTTTACTTGTTTTTAATACATACGTACAGATAACACGGAGTGTGGTTTAACTTGTGTGCTCTGCTCTACAAGTCAGATTAAATCTGTATAAACACAAACCACAAACACCTTGGAAGATTTTCATGCAAGGAAAGTGATGGAAACCTTTTGGCTTCCTTTCTCCCAGTTGTGGTTGGGTGGCAGCCTCCAAGTAAAGAGGGTTAGCCTAACTCAAGGCCTTGGTGTAGCCAGAGGAGTAGTGGCTCTGTACAATACACACCATAGATGATAATTCGCCTCCAACATGACCTGACCCAGACTCACGGTAATGTCTTGTAGATTGGGAAACAATAACATTACAAATTGTACTTGGCACATTACTGTACAGTACTTGGCCTTCAAGAAACCTACTTACAGAATGTTTTAGCAGGTTTTAAAAGAACTTCCACCAAGTACAATATATTAATTAGAATGTGCAATGATGTAATAAAATTATAGATTTGCAGTTATGCAGTTTACTTTTTGCCACTCAAATTTTGTTTATACTCAGCTAATATTTGCAAGTACATAGCTTTCATCTTCCCCACACAAAATGCATCATGGGAAAACATCTTGTGCACCACAATACAATACATTACTCGTGTACCGTTCCCAGAATCTTAGCCACGGCAGTATACCCTGCCTGTTCATTAGTGGTCCAGTAAAAAAGTCTGGAATGTTACTGCTGTGTCTAACCTCAACTTCAAGGATATCCTTCTCCTCGACAGTGCTCTTGGTCATCTTATGCACATCACTGACTTGTATCCTAAGATTTGGGTCATGTTTATAAGTACCTGTCTAATGCCACTTCCTCTGATAAACCAGTGGATCAAGGAGTGATAGCTACAATGATATATGTGGAGTGAATATTTCCTCAGTTCATTTAAGCTGCTGGTGGGCCAGGTAGTTCTGTACACACACCTAATGCCAAGCTCTCCTTATGCAGGAAACGAGAAGGTATTGATGAGGTACTGTATACTGTATCTCAATATATACGTTGCCTTGCTGTACTGTATGATGTGTGACTTTTATGCTTAGTGATGAATTTGAGAAAAAATACGATAAAAAAAAAATGCCGAACTGCTGAATTCCTCTGCCACATCCCCTCCCGGTGTCAGTTTATGCATCGCTGCCACAGTCTCTCTGTCTTGTCTGTTTACATTGAATAGAACCTTACTGAAATCCTGTAAGATGAGTGGAAAATGCCCAGCAAGTGATATTTGTGCCTTAGGTAAGAAGAAACCAAGGAAAAATATTGATGTAGAGATTATAATAGATGTTTTAAGGCATTTTGAAGCTACTGAACAGATGTTATCACCAAAGTGATTGTTCTACTCTGCCATCTTTAATGAGTGATCCAAACAGAGAATGCATCCCTACAGTTAACAAGCTTTACAAACAAGAAGAAAACTGTCCAGCTGTCTTTGGACCAATATGTTAAATGTCCATCCTTAGTTGAAGAGACAGACAATCCTGCAGATACGTCTCAATAACTACATCACTCGTATGTACATAATCTCCTAAACCAACTTCGGTGAATATCTTATTGACATAGATTTTATACAGTACAGTATCTAAATATACTGTATTTATTTTAACTTATAATAATCTAATTTAGGTATTTAGTTAATATATATACTGTATATATATATCATTGGGTCTATGGTAAACTAGTACAGCTCCTCCCTGACTTACGACCTACTCGACTTACGACCACCCGGACATATGACCGCCTCAGTCGTACCAAAATTTTGTTAAATTACGTATTTTCGAGTCCCAATGTCTGATTGCACTGTGTACTGACAAAATTTTCGTTTGTAATTCTTTAAAATGGCTGGCAAGATAAAAAGTGAGAGTTTCGTGGTGCTGAGAAGAAAAAGAGACACCCATTTTAGATTTTCTATGTATTATTTAAGCATTTTCGACTTACGACCTGGATTTGGGTCCCTAACCCCGTCGTAATTTGGGGAGGAGCTGTATATACAGTATGTTGTCTCACTTAATATCTCGGTTTTATCAAGAAGGTGTCCAATGTATAATGACGTGCAGTACAGTATATCTACCGTACTTGTGTGTACTCAATAATAATTATCCAATGAAATTTAAACTACCTGGTAAAAAGTTATTAAATTGTTATTAGTGTTTGCATGAAAAGTTAATGCAGTGTAGAATCATTGTCAAAAGGATTTTATATATATCCCGCCACTGTTAACATTGTATCCTGTATAGCGACATAGGTCAGTATCACACAGTTATGCCACTTATATACAGCGAAGATTTATAACATTCCACTGTTTTCTCAGTATTTTGCAGCACAAACTGGCATAACCCACTTGCTATGTCACTAAGGATATCACACAGGAGTTATCAGTATAGTGAGATATATTATCAGATAATTTTAAGTACAGTACAGTACAGTATACTGTACAGTAATACAGTACTTTCGACTCCACTCCTGACTGACCTTGCCATAGGTTAACCCCATTACTTTACATGATGATTCCACTACTAGTTCAGATCTATCTAACGACGTGTGACCCCACTTTAAGTTGACTACACCACATTCTGACCTGTTAAAAATTCTTTGGTATGTGCTAACCCAACCAATTCTGAGCCCTACTACACGTGGAAATTGTTCTGTATTCTTTCTGTGATCTTTGGCCTATCAATATATTTGAATTACAGCTACTTCTCAAATTACGACCACCCCAGTCGTACCAAAATTTTTAAAATTACGTATTTTCGAGTCCCGACGTTAGTGATTGCGCTGTGTACTGATAAAATTTTCATTTGTAATTCCCTTTAAAGTGTCTGGCAAACTTAAAAGAGAGTTTTGTGGTGCTGAGAAGAAAAAGAGACCCATTTTAGATTTTCTATGCATTATCTTTGCATTTTCGACTTACGACCAGGATTTGGGTCCCTAACCCTGTCGTAAGTCGAGGAGCAGCTGTACTTTGATTTATGAAAGGGACGCATCCCTGAAAATCCTCTTGTAAATCGAAGCCATTTTTTCCCATTGATTACCATTTAAAAAAAAAAAACTCGGGTGTAACATCACTGTCAGATTCTTCCTCCTGTTGTGTTGGCTCTACAAAACAACACTCACGGCAATTAGTGGAACATCCACAGTCAGACTCAAGGTTATCAGGGACTGTATCACCTTCATTATCAATTTCCTCTTCTTGATGTGTGGGGGCCTGAGTTGTGGTCATGCCATGTTCTTGTTGGTATGTGTGACAATCAAAGATTCATCAATTTCTGCCTCTTATTTGGTGATTGGTTACCCAAACTTTTAGATCAATTTATAATAGCACCTTCATATGACAGTATTATCTGTGCAATATACTGCACTACAGTATATTGCTCACTGTATGTGTTTAGCATGGGATGTTCCGAGATGCCTGTATCAGCAATTCAGCATCATCCAATGTAATCAAAAAATATCGTAAAGTATTTTCTCAATAGCAGACTTTTCATTCAGATAACAAAGCGTTGGAACCAAAATAATTGTATTAACAAATTTTTGTAAATCAAAGCATTCCTGTACAGTATACGATTTTGCCATATTGTCTGGTGTATGGATAAGCAGATTTGTTTCAGTAATACAGTCATCTCCAATGTGTTCTGACAAATAACTTGGACATTAGTACAGCACAAGATTAGAAAATCAAAATAAAAGACTGAAGGTAAAGTTAACATTTCAGTAGGTTGTAAACTGTAACTAAACAGCTTGTTTCAAATGAACAAAGAGAGTTTTAAAAAGGAACAGAGTACAGGAAGTCCAAAAGACTATTTTGAATATTGTACAGTATTGTGGAAAAATTAAACAGATTAGTTCAAAGAATGTAATTAATTTTTTTGGTATGAATATTAACCATTAAAAACATCACAAAGAAGTTTAAAATTGAAGCAATGTCAGTGCTGAAATATGCATTATGTACTCTTAGTGTAACTTAATTTCACAAAAAATGGGTTAACTAAGACAGGTTGCATATTACTGTACAAGAGATTTCAATTCACAAATGTAAGAGTAAGGATATAAACCTCCATTCCACAGACCTGAGTGTGAGTCACATACAGTACACTAACTACAGTCAACCCTCACTTTACGCGGTTAATGTAACCCACAGGGTACCGCGGAAAGTGAGAAACGCGTAAAGTGAATAACATAACATATGGGATTAATTGAAATAGAGACCGGGCCGACCCCCAAACTCCACTTTTTGACGACACACAACTATGTTGTAGTAAAAATATTATCTTAACTTTATGATGGTATGCACACACAATTAATAATTAAGAGAAATATCAATAATATTAGGTTTTTTAACACTTACATTAGTAGAAAAGATGGCTGGGCACATGGGGATGGGCGGTTGGTTCCGAGGCAGAGGGCAGATTATTGGCTCTCACCTGTATCACTTGTATCAATTGTATCACTATCCACCACAGAGGCTTGCAGGGCCTCTTTGTCAAACCCCCCAAAGTCCATATAAGTCCATATCCTCACCATAATTATCACTATCACTGACTTGGGCCGGCTGTGGTGGGTGGCGGGTGAAGAACTGGTAATGTTTTGATGACTGGGCGACCTTGTGCGCACCATGTTCGCGCCGCTTACACAACTTGGCGGATGGCGGGAGGTTTGGATCCAAAAATGGCGCGGCTCGCCAGCCGCTCTCCGCGTAAAGGGGTACACGCACCGCGGAATGTGAGCATCCTGGGTTCCGGCAGGGCACCGAGTAAACGTGGAAACGCGGAATGTGGGACCGCGTAAAGTGAGGGTTGACTGTACATTAAAAGCCACTTTATATTAAGCTTCAAAAAAAAAAGTTGATTAAAATTACCACCTGACACGAGATTATTTGATGACCTCGTGATAATTGCAGTAACAACAAAGTAAACTGAAGAAATAAGTCTGTCAATATATGCTTAAAATTTAACCAAGAGAGGCTAAATTGACATAGTAGATGTCAAATAACAATACATACCCTGCAAATGTATTTAAACACAACACAACACAATACAGTACTGTACACTAAAGGCCTGTCACTTATAATAAAGGTAATTTTTCCCCACAATGTTCCCTATATAAAATTAGCTGCATGGATTTTCTGTTCTAGTAACCTTAGTTCAATCTTTTTTATCGGTTTTAATTAATAAGAAACAGATGAACTGGACAGCAATTTAAAGGTTAAGATCCCATCCCATAACAGTACTATGTACTGTCTATGAATTGGAAAATAATTGGTGTGGCGCTGGATGTGACAATAGCAGAGTAGATCATTGATAGTTCCTCATAATCTCAATAGTACTTTATAAATCAGGTAAAGTTGTTGTATATTTAAAATTAAGACATGTTTCCACAACTTTAACTATGAATTATTATATTTATAAGGGAATTAGAGGGGGAGCCCAGTCAGCAATGTAAATGTTTATAATAGTTTTAGTTTTCTGACACTTTTTGGTCATAGACATTTTGGGGGCATGTATTTCGTTATTTATGATTGGTCTGTAGTATTATAGACACCAATTAGTAAATATAATGGTAACATCATTATGAAGCAAGTTTGTTGATTGTCTCTACAGGTACAGTATAAGTATTTGTAAACATGGTACCGTATTTAAAATATAAAATGTTTACCTATTTTTGTTTGTACTCGTGCTTGGAAGGTTAGCACACCTTTTAAACCAAACCAATCGCCAATAGACCAAAAATTTATTTTTACTGAATTTTTAAAGACTTGGATGCAACATGCATTAGTTGTAAGCTAGTATAATGTAGCATCCATGCTCGTGTGTTAAATGGAATATCTTTATTACAACTTCAACATAAAGATTAAAACTTGACACAATGTTATCAATACTGTACATTATGCTCTCCTAGTGACTAATTGAAGATTACAGTACTGAGTCACTTACAGCCACATCCCCAGACCCGACTCTCCCAGTCTAATACTGTACTGTTCCTCCCTGACTCCTTGGGTGTGAGGGATCTCTCTGTGCTGAATAAAATATTTAATGTGTCATCCAGTAGTGAAGGGGTTAAACTTACATCAGGGGGGATTTTCAATAAAAATATTGAGTACCGTAGGAGAGCAAGAATGGCTGCTTAAACTACCTATTTGTAATTGATAAAGAATCAGAATTTTGTATTCCTTGAATTGCTCTAACTTATATGCACATACAGTATAAAGAATGAATATACATATACTGTACAGTATCAGAATGCATAATACTTTGCTTCAAACTTTTTCATATACTACAGTACACAAATTGTGCAGTCACTGGAGTGAGATTTATCCAAACAAGGTGATCGCTGATCTTCGTTTTGCAAATTGGCTTTGCTGAAACAAGAATGTACCAGTTGCCATTTACTGGCACTGTGATATGAAAAAATGTGAAAAGAATGAACACAGCTTCAACAAGGATGTATGAGGGAATGGGTGACAAAAATGGAGTACAGTATAGGAAAAGTGGATATACAGTAAAGGTAGGAATATATGACAGGAGAGCACAGTATGAACAAAGGTAGAGAAAGAAAGCATTCAACATGGAAAGAGATTACTGTATATATTGCATACAAGACGACCTTTGAACCATGAAAAAAACGGGGGGGCGTCCTGGCTAAGTATAAAACATGAACTTTAAATCAAGTGTTGTAGTTTGTCATCACGGGTGGCAGAGATTGACAACTAGACTATTTTATTTAATGAATGTTATGTGACGCAGGGCAGGGCAAGACCGTCGCTCACAGTTTGTCAAATAAAAATAAATACTGTATAATACTGGGCGATACTAACACTGCTAACTTTGTTTATACTGTGCATAGCCATTACTGTACACATTGTTCTCTCCTTATAAGACATACTTGGACATTTTAGATAAAAAGTATCTGGGAAAAGATTTGTGTGGTGAGGGTCTGGAGCAGTTATGTAACTTAGGAGGTACAGAAGTGTGTGCGTGTGTGTGGTTGGCACCAACAGGCTGTAGCATGTACACAATTCCTTTTTCTTGATGTAAGTTTTCTTTAACCCTCTCACGCACGCAATAAGTTTTTAAGTTTCCGAGACCATGAACAAAATTCATATGGGACCACTATTGTGAGGTCTGGTCATCTTAGTTCTGCAGCCAAATTATCCCACTTTTTTTTTTGCATGATTAATACATCACTGGATTCGTCATTACTGTATTTTGGCTAACATAATTATGAAGAAAAAAAAAATGCGAGTAAAACTTATTTTTCTCATTCTGAATTAAGAAAAAATTACTTGTTTCCCAGCATCTTATCTTTCGATATTTTCTCACAAACCAACCAAGTGTATCATAAATGCGGAATTTAATGAGGTTTTCAACGGTGCCTTTGGAACTTTGATGCAACTAGTTGTGGGGAAGGAAATACAGTAAACAGACAAATGTGACCTACTAGCATTGCTGATGGGATGAAACTGATGGATAGCAGAACTCCACCCACACTTTGGTACTTTCTGGAAGCTTCCCTTGCAAAATCATGCAGTCATGTATGATGCACAAAAATTTGAATTAAATTGAAAACTTTTTGGGCAAATATTTTGAAGTTTAAGAATGCAATTTGCATCATTGATGCAAATGACTTGATGCGAGTTGCGTCATAAAGCGCGAGTTAAAACCTTTGTATTGGAGAGCAATATTTAATTATTGTAGGTAACAGCAAATAAACAGTTGATAATGACAATTTTGAGGCTGTAAATCTCAGCTGGTCACTTATTTTTGGCAGCGCAGCAGCATAAAAACTAACACATATCCTCCTCCACCTCACCACCTTCCTCATCATTATACACTGGCTTTTTATTACACATCTACCCCTCAGCTGTTATTAAAATATTTTTTTTATTGTACTGTAACAGGTGTTGATGAGGTACATTTAATTTTTGAAGGTAAAAGAAAAACAATTGATAAACATGTACATCTTTTCATCCAAAGGCTAATGAAACAAATATTTCACTGTACTCAAAGAAACTAAAAGACTGGTGTAAATAAACTGTTGTGAGGTACAGTTACAGAAATGTGTTCCATTCCCCCTGTGGTAACCCGTGTCTCCAAACGGCCGACCTATAGCAAACCTATCCACCAATAACGTCTGTCGTTACACGGCCAATACCCATTCATCCATAAACAGCGATACTACTACTGCAACGGTGCCACTTGGAGACACAGGTTACCATAAGGGGGCGAAGGAACACATTTCCCCAACTGTACCATAGAATAACCAACGCCTCAGTGTAGTCACGAGTGTTTATAATACAACAGCATGATCACAGCTGCAGATTCTGAAAGATAATAGACAATATCTTGTCTATGAATATAGGTTGTGTTGGTCATTCATAGTGACAACTTACACCATATGACAAAGGTTCATATCTTTTAATCAAGGCAAGTACAGCCCAAAACTTTAATTATAAATTGAAAATTTGGGGTCGTCTTATATGCCGGTATACTGTGTATGGCACAGTTGGGATATGAAAAATAAAATGGAATCTGGCAATGTATGGGTCATCAAGGAGTCTGCGTCACTGGTCACAGGAGAAAGACACTTGTGCAGTAATACTTCTATGGGCAAGCAAGGCCAACCAATCTACACCAAAATTTCTCATATGAAATACAGTAGTTTATAATTAGTTTAACCTAAATACTACTACTATATGAGCAGTGTTGCAGTCTTTTACATGTTAAGACAAATTATAATCTACAATAAGTTTTAAATCATATATGCCTCTGCCAAATTATAACCAACTCATGATTCTTAGCTCCTGAAAAGTTCTCAGGACAAATTTTATACAGAAACCTCCTGCAATTCATAAACTATACTGTACCACAGTCATTACAGGTCATAATTTTCTGTTTGCTCAAACCATTAAGCATAAGTTCAATCCTGTACCCAGGCAGAGTCAGATGGGTGTTGTCAGTGATGCACACACAGGTACAACTGAATGAGAAGGCAGTCAATCTAACCATTCTCGTGTGGGGATTTCCTTCCGAGAAAACTATGGCAGATGCTTTAAGGGATTCTAGCTTAATGTTGGCTGAATATGCCTTTTTGTGTCATTTAACTCCTTTTGTATTTAAAGTCAAGTGTCAAATGTAGCATCAGTTCTTAATACTGTACCTCATCTCCATCCATCTGTATGCTGTCTTCAAGACTGTGTCACATACAGTAGTATAATTATTGCCAGTTTCAACCAATATTGAACTCCTTAAATGTTATGTAGTTTAATAAGTATCAGATATATTATTCAAATGAACTGACTTCTTTAGTATCAAATGACTTTTGATTAAAAACTATATTTGAATTTAATTTCTCATCCAAAATAGCAGTAGGAAAACAAAGAACCAGACGAAAGCAGAAATAAAATTCTTATCCGTTTCTAATATAAGAACATTGAAAAAAAAAGCACTACATAATTACAAAACCAAAACCTGTTATCTCAGAGGTAGAGTAAGAACAGTACATGAGCACATCCACAAGTGGTGTTGTCAACTGTATTACATACACAATAATGTCTTGGCTGCAAGCCCTAAACAATTATCATATTACAGTACACAAATGAGAATGCCTAAACTGTACACCTAATAACTTTTAGAAAATAAAATCGTACTCATTACAATGACACAAAGCTTCCCAGATTTCTCTAGAATAAAATCCTATATAACTTAAATACTGTACATTTCATTCCCATAAATGTTATGGAAAATTCAGTCTTGCAAAGAAAGCCTTTTACTCATTTACTTGAAATATTTCTTCAAGTATAACTTATGATAACCCGCTCCTCAAGTCCCACAACAAAGTACTGTAAAATAAAATTCTAGGTGAATTGGGTCCACCACATCACTTTGCCCAAAATGGGGAACAGAAGTGTCCAATGATGCAATCAATTTAAACTCTTCTTTTCCTGGCAGTGATTTCAAGCATTGCGACCACACAATACAGTATACTCCCTCTAACCCGGACTCACTTAATCTAGATCCCCTTGCAAACCGGACTGGGGTCCAGCACCAGACACATGTAAACCCAACCAGGGAGAAAACAAACAAAATCCAGTTAGTTTGAGAGAAAGTTCGTGTAACCACGGGCTGCCACTGTGGTGGCACAGGAGGCAATAGAAGTGTCTTAAGAAATATGAACAGTGTACTGTACAGTACATATACGTACGTAGTTGATGAGATTAGCAGTGAGAACATAACCTCCGCTCCACCTTCGGTAGCGTACATTGTGAGTGTCGTACAATCACCTCAAAACTTAACCAAACCAAAATAATTTAATAATTAAGAAGTACTATACTTTATCATTAACATGTACTATGTACTTCTACTTTTCATCAAAAGACATATAATAGCACAGTAAGAATGTGTACCATAAGAAACACTCTTCTACTTTGTACGATTCTCTTGTCACTCTTCTATCATATACTATCATATAAGACTGCAGTCATGAGCTGCAGCTGTAAAGTCTTGGCTAAAAATACAGTAGGTTCAGTGTTCTTAGGTTGGTTGAGTCAGAAATCCCCCACCCTCTTCAATTTTCCCTGCCCAAACTGGACAGGTCTCCCCCTTTAATGAATCCGGATTAGAGAAAGTTTACTGTATATATAATCATTAAATCAAATAAGAATTATCTTAGCTTAACCTGATTCATATAAAAATGTATTTATGACACTTGATAATCCTTCCCCTTGAGAACTCCTGGATCTGCCCCTGCAATTATCTTCCTTTAAATAGAACTTTATAATGATTAAAGAAAAACAAAATAAACAAATACAAAAAATTGGTTAAAGTGCATCAATAAACTTTTGTACTGGTCTGCCATTAGCGGTGCAACTGCTTAATTGTCAACTCATAATATGGCTACAATGCATTTAATGGAACATCATAATCTGCTATTATATTTAAAACATTTTCTGCTGCCACATATTTTTTATTATTACTTTTTGATTGTACATTTTATATACAGTACTGTATTCCGGTAAAAAAAAGTCTTGATAACTTCAGAAATAACAATAAAGAGAATTTATACCAAGTAAAAACTACAAAACAATTTTATTCTTTATTAGTTTCCAAAGCACTGAAGACGACGCTACCTTACTAAAGCCATATTTATATAATTTACAGCAAACAAAACCATCATAATGCACTTATTAACATATCATCACTGTACTGTATTCATCTGTGAAGTGTTCCATTATGTTATGGTTATGCACGAGTTTATATCCACCAGAATCTTGAAAAAGTCAGTTTGTATAGAAAATACACTGGTGCATAACTAATTCTTTTGTCTATTCATTACACCAATTCTTTTTCTGAACAAATTAGCTGGTGTAGATAACAAATTGCTGGTCGTCAGGTGAGGGCATCTCAACCTGTACATACTGTTGAGTGGAGTTGTAGTCTGTCTCGTACTGTGGTGTCGTACTGGCAGCTGCTCGCATGTTATTTCTGTAGAAAAAACAGGTTTCATTAAACATGAATCCATACTATTTGGTAATATAAATGTATATATTGTTCATATAATTACATAATGAGGTACAAAGAGGAGGGATTTGAAACAGTGAAGTCAACAGGTGGGGTCCTGAGTGTGTATGAGGAGGACATGAAGTAGTGCTTGTACTAATTCTTTCATTGATGAGAAACTCAGGTGTTTCATAAAAGCAACAGATCAATACTGACAGCAGTAGTAGAGATGGAAGGTTTAAGAAGCAATATTGGACTTAAAAGAAAAGTAGGGAATTAAAATTAAAAACTATGTGTGGGGTCAACAATTCACTGAAAAGTAAAATGGATTAGAGTGCAATATGATGGTAGGAGCTTATGAAGTGCATGAGAAGCAAGAGATTGTTACAAAGATTTAAGCAGGTGATAATAAGTCACTTGGCTAACTTAAACTTGAGGTGGCCATTCATGTCTGGGTGGACTGTGGGTGCCATGGGTGTAAACCACCGATCCTTAGGACTGTGTAATCTCAATACCTATTAAGACCAAGACAGAAATGAACAGACAATACAATTAAATTAGAGAAGTCTAGAGGTGTCATTCGATAAATTTTGGATCATGAACAGTGGAGTTATTTCATTTTTGACAGTGGTAATGTGATCAAACCTGATGACAACTCCATATACTGTACACTGCATATGCAGGTCAAAGATATGAAAAAATTTTTGTAGATACTGTACTGTTTATCTCCATGTTGTGTTGGCCTTTAACTGCTGCTTTCTACAACCATACTGCACCACTCTCCCAATCTTTTGTCCTCGTCTGAGGTTTTTGTTTCTCTTGAATCTTCCAACTTAAAGTAGGAAGGGAGTAATGTGATAAATAGAGTGATGTAGTATGTACAGTACTGTTTATATAACCTTCAAGAGATACATTGGGCATAAAAGATATCATAATCATCACAGTGTCACTGCCATTTCCCACACTTATGGGGGCTAGCCATGAGGTCCCAGTTGCCATCAAGCAAATTTGAAGCACGTTTTACGGGTGGAAAGCCTTCCTGTTACCAACCCACTTACAGAGTGTGAACTGGGAATTATATATAAGTTTCCAAGCATCCAATTAGCTGGCAAGACCCAGGTGGTTACTCCCATGGTAACCAAAGATTACCCATTGGTTAAGCCTTTGTTGTGTTTTTTATTCTGGCTTGACTCAATAAATTCAAGGTTTTAGAATGCCTTAATAAGAGTGAATCTGCCTCCTCTGTGAGATGCTTTCTCAAGTGTATGAGTCGTCCATCCATTATACAGGCTGACTTAGACAAAATCTTTGCTGCATTAATGAGCCCATCATTCTCAAAGACCTAATAAGATTAAGTCTACTAAGTTTGACAAGATGGAAGGGGATTTGTCACTATAATGGAAAGACACAGGAAAACCATACTCTTATGACTGACGCAATGATGCAAGAGCAAGTTAATACAGGAGAAAATCATGGGCAAAGAAGGCGGGCCAAGCACAGGTGAACAATTTAATGCTTGTGCAGAACAGCTGGAACATTTTTAAGAGATACCAGATAAAGTGTGTTGCTTTCTTGGGGGAGGCTGCCAGAGCTGACCTTGCAGCTGTATAGGAGTTCCAGCCATGTCTCCTTGAGATCACTGAGGAAGAAGGCTACACCCCTGACCAGATGTTTACTGCCGATAAAACTAGTCTATATTGGAAGCAGTTAAGAGAAAAGAACATCTATTCTGAAGAACGAGAAGAAAACACCAGACTTTAAGACTGCCAAACACATCACCCTCCTTCTCTATAAAAATGCTTCTAGGAACCAAGTTGAAGCTTATGTTACTGTCTTGGCATCCAGTGGTTTGGAGGTCTAATATTAAGGCTTGGGTGCCAGCATATTTGTTTGAGCTGTGGTTTCATAATGTGCTGTCCCTTCCATCAAGAGTTAGCTCATATACAAAACCTGGAAGAGAAGGCTTTTATCTCAGTTGGCAACACTTCCTGTCACCAAGAATACATGAACTTTATCAACAAAAATATTCAGATTATATTCCTGTCCGTTGTCTCAACCTTTAGACCGAGAGGAATTATTTCAGGTTAACAGAGTGATAAAGACTTTTGGAAGTCTTACACAATTTGGGATGTCACCAATAATAAGTAGTAGTGCCGAGACCAGTTATCTCCGAACACACTTAATGCTATGTGGCATAACCTGCAGCCTGGGGTTCTCAATGAATTGTATGGGTTTCTTGATATTGACACAGGCATCATTGACATAGTGAAGGTCAATCATTTAGTAGGAGGTGAGGTTTCACTTACTGGAATGTGGATGACAACCATGAAATACATACTGGCCTTCCCTGATGGGAACCTAATGCCTGAGAAACTGCTGCAGCTGACAATTAATGAGTCAGAGACACCTGATCTTATAAGAGTGATGAAGCTTCCACTAAAAGAAAAGCTCACAGACACTGTGTGCTGTACCAGCATGCGGACATGTAAGGTGTGAGACTATTGACTTAGCCTATGATTGTACTTAGAGTCTGGCACTGTTACTGCTTTCTCTTCTTCTCTCACCATCACAACATTCTCAAACAGTACTGTACTATTCTTCCTTGTGCCCAACTCCAACTCATCACAAATGAACTCCTCTACAACATACAGTATTTATTGTACGTATTTAAGTGTCACATTTAAATTTTTCCAAAAAAGGGATATTTGGCCCCATATGCTGTTTTACCATTAACTATTCAATACAATTACTGTACTGTATTTGGATTTAATTTCTTTGCAACTTATTTAAGAACCAAAACTCAGGAAAAACTGAGGATTAGCTCCACCAACCAGGAGCATGTGCAAAAAATCCCAAATTTGCATACAGTACCAGTAATACCCTTTTACCTCAAATGACAGTTTTACAGAATGAAAGTGAGCGGCTGATATAACTTGAAACCGGAGCCCTGTAGTTTCACCACATACTGTACAGCACAATTGTTGCCAATTTAGTTGTGTTTATATACTTTAAGATATTTGTACAGTAAACATAAATTTTACTCGGGTATTTTTTGACATTGTAACTAAAGACTTGTCAGTGAACACATTAGTTTGTGGGTTACAGGTTAATGCAATCAGGTCAGCTGGCTGTAGTGTGCAGTAATTCAGCAATGACTTTAAGGTTAATGTATACTATACTATAATTGTATACTATACATATTTGTTACTAAAGGAAAAATAAGTTTTCATTTTATAGCACTGGGGTTGAGCCATGATGTGTATTTTATGAAACCAATATTTTTAGAAAAAAATATTGACACCCTGTAATTACTGCGCTTTAACATTATATGGTTTTTTATTTTTTTATTTAGATGATTGTCATATACAGTGATCCCTCGGTTAACGAGCGCCTCGGTTAACGAATTACCTTCCATAAGATTCTTCTCTTCGGTTAACGAGCAAACCTTAAGTTAACGAATTCCTTACGAATTTTTCCCAACATGTTTTCGCCTGCAATTGGCTGCCCACCAGCTGTAGTATTAGTCCGCCAATAAAGTAATCGGTTTTAGGGCTTAAATTCCTTACCATTTTAGTAAATATCAAGAAGGTTGTGCAGTACTATTCAATAATTTTAAAAGTTTTATATTAAATTGTTTAGTCATTTTAACAATTATTGAACATAATTGAAGTACAGGAAACTATTTTTTTGTGCGCCAAACAGCCACTCAACACACCAAGCTTGGCGTCAGTTTGTTTACCAGTTCAGAGGAGGGAACATCTTATTTGAGACTCTTCAACATAAATGCTTTTTTTTGTGTTTCCAGTCAAATTATTGGTCATTTTGAAATACATTTTACATATTGACAATATATAGCGCAGTGCAGTGTTGATTTAAAGAAAATAATCTTGAATTACACCAAGTGAACTAAAATTTTATGGGTGAAATGGCGGCATGGGGCGACTTCTCTTCCACCCCCACTGCCTTCTCTTCTCCCTTCTCCTCCACCCTCATTCTAATTCCCATTATCATCATCAACCAGGAGCCTTCTACATGCACACCTCAAAGTGTACCTTACTGCATTTATTTTTAGTTTGTAATTTTCGGTGAGCTGGAGCCAATTACCCAAAAACCCATTGAAACAATGGTTTCGGTTAACGCGCAACCTTCTGGAATGAATTGTGCTCGTTAACCAATGGACCACTGTAAAGTACAAGCAGTCCCCAAGCTACAAGCACCCACACTTACAAATGAGATCCAAATACTGTATATTCATCACAAAAATCTGAAGCTAAAATCCTTTTTTTTTTTACATTACAATACTTTCATGATTCTATTAACATTACTTTATTTACATTATTTGTTATGTATGGGATATCATTGTTATTTTGTATGGGCAGGGTTGTGCTTTAACCTAACCTAAACTATGGAATTAACACTGTTCCAACTTACAAACAGGGTCCAGATATGTAACCCGTTCGTAACTCGGAGACTACCTGTACTGTACTGTATATTATAATGAATTACGGATGGGAGTTATCTTTAACTCTGGTGATGTTACAATGAGATTTGGAGCAATTCCTGATCACTTGTTCAAAAATGAATTCATAAGAAAGTTTAGAAAAAGATTTACTGGTAATCTATTTTAAATAAATTATCAATATCCGGTTTGTTTTTCAGCTAATTAACCTCTAGATCTCTGACTTTGCCATTCTCCCTATTTTCTAAAACTGGCCAGTCTGTGTCACTTTTTTATACAGGATTTGTAACCCCTGGATCACATTTTGCCAAGAGCTATCTTAAATTAGTTTCTGACTGGCATATTCTGAGTAACATGATGAATACATAAATGCACACACGAATGCACACAGAACAATTACGCTGCCTATGTCATACCTCCTATGAAGGTTTAATGGAAGTAAGGTACAGTAACCCACTTAAGTCCTGTCCACAAATCCTGAGATTCAGACAAGTGAACCTGAAGCAGTGGACAATGATGCATTATTCTGTCCATAAATAACTCGGATTCATAAGTTATGGTTCGTGGGTCAGAGAGGCTGGAATCATGAACAGACACACAGACTCTCACTTCACTGACTGTCATTAATTCACTCATTTTCACTGTTTTAATAAGGGTGTTCTGCTATGATACTACTACACTTCCACAAAAGTCTAGAATACCAATGTTAGGTCAAAATCATTCTTCAGTATTTTACTTTTTTATTTATATTTTTTATTAGCACTGAGCCCTAAAAGATAGTATGCACATTTACTATTACTAATTTTAAATAGTGGTGGTATTATAGTTAGTTACCGGTAGTTAGTTTTACTTAACATAAGAAAACAACCTTGCAACTTACTTCGCTTTGGCATGGGTGAGAATATGTGACTTGAGGTTGGTGCTCTGAGCAAATTTCTTATTACATCCATCAAATGGACAAACATAAGGTCGATCTCCGGTGTGAATTCGTACATGAGTTCGTAGATTAAAATCTAGCGAAAACCTCTTGCCACACCCTTCAAACGTACACTGAAATATAATGATTAAGTTATGAGGCAAAACAATAATTTGAGCTCATTTATACACAATTCAGCTTGACAAAGATATAAAACAAACTTCATTGACAAAACAAAAATATATAATACATAAGTCTCCTCATTACCAATGTATGCTTATACGTATAGGTACAGTGCATAGGACTACATTAGTAGCAAGCATTATAATCTAACCAATATCTGAATCAAAGCTTACCGTAAACCCATTTTTTTACAATTTTCTTAAGTTTACCCCTTATGATTGAGGACAGCTGGTCTTAAGGATACCTAAGTGAGGTTTTGCTTAAAGTGAAGTTCCTGTCAAGATAACAATAACCAATGCCAGACCTCCAGTGTTGCACATTACTCCACCCCATTATAACAGAGAAACACCAAGGGAGTTCATTTACCTGAAAAGGCTTTTCTCCTGTATGTACAAGCTGGTGCCTCTTGAGTTTGGAAGATTCCACAAAAGCTTTACCACATTCAGCACAAACATGTACTCTAGGGCCATGAGTATGTAAATGTTTTCGCATTGCGGAGTTATCACGAAACATTTTATTACATCCCTGTTGAAAGAAAATTACACTATGAAATAAACTGTTTTAAGAAGTGATTAGAATCTGTCATAACTTTATAATACTGTACATTAAAATCATACATATCTAAACTGTTATTCAGAATGCTATCTCACATTACACAGCAGAATGGCGAAATTATCTTAATTTTTTAATAACATTATGGTCACTAAAAACACACACACACACACACACACACACACACACACACACACACGTGTAAGCCTTGGCAGTAAGCACAATTACTAGGCATGTACTGTGTACTGTACTGCATCGCCACTTTAATGCACTGATTTGCCTCCTTTAAATATCTCTTCTTGATAAACATTATTATTGAGTTGTTTTCCCCTATGTTTATCAGTTTCTCATTTAATTCATGATAATTTTCTCCAGTATTAAAGACTTTAATCTGAGCTTCCACTTAATTCCTCCTTTCTTCTAAAACCAAACAAGAAAAAATGTCTCAGTTCAACAACAGTGTTCAGTGAATCTTGCCATGTCTCTTAACTTTCTGCTTCACTTCATGTATTAATAATAATCTCTTACTGTATTGTAATGACTTTACCTTTTGCTTCCCCTTTAAGCTGCTGTTTAATCCTTATAATAAAAACTGAGAAATACATTAAAAATACAGTGATGTAATACAGTAGAATTACAGTAATCAGGACACTCATGAGACCTGACTATGGTTCAAGATTTTATTATTTAACAAAGTCAGTAAATTTTATAAGAACATGTTTAAAAACTAATGCTAATATATAGTACCTGTACCCTACATTAATATCTGATTGGAGCTGTACTCACCATACCAGACACCTACTGACCTGAACTTATTATTAACACATAACCTTGAATGAACTGAGCTTTGGGACATTAAGTTAAGACCCCTGTGGTTCCAACTCCAGATGTTAGTCCCCCCCCCTCCTTCCATGTCCAAGTTAGCAGTAATAAGACTTGGAGTTTGTTATTCTGCCTTGCTACAAGGCTGCCCTGTCACTTAAACGTGCGACCTTGTAAGAGTACGAGTCATAGATGTACAGTGTTCTAATTATAGGAACTTTTGAGATGTCTGGGATGTCCACACTCTCCACATTATTCAGGTGGTATTTAACGGAAATACAGAGTAATTTATTCATGACTGAAAAATAATGTTCGCACCATAAGGTGTCCTGATGTTGAGGAGCCTCTGTACAGTATTTTGTTCTTTAGTCTTTGTGCAGATTCTATTAGGTTCTTCTCTCTCTCTCTCTCTCTCTCCATCAAACACAACATGTTTTGCTTTCAGTATTCATATTCAACATTTTTCCATTGCACACACTATAATCTCATCCAAGTAGCTGCCAGTCTTAAGTCTGGCACCTGACACATTACAAGAGAGCCTCTTAATCATCACTTCCTACCACAGTACTTTACACTCTGCCATCTATAACTTCACTTTATTCATTAGACAACCTTAATTCTATATAGTACTGTATATTTATACAGTATACATCTGTTAAATCATCTACTTTAACTCAAGTCCTACACTCCTTTAAAATTTTGTACTGTGAATAGTCAATTTCTTATACGTACTGTATACAGTATCAAAATAATTCACTAACTTGGAAAAAATCCATTTCATCCCTCTGGTTTCCACACCTCAAGTGATGTCTACTACAACAGTACAGTACAGTACTGTACTGTATTCTTGTGGGCAGGCAGGCAACTTATGGTCATGTACAAACCTTGTGAGGACATGCAATTGTTCTAGCAATGTCATCAGAACTAGACTTCTTTGGCTTAATCTTAGCAAACTCTGCTAGTTGTTTGGGGTCAGAGAGATCAACTCCAGGTATACCAGCCAATTTCTTGTTTGATCCAGCCATGTACTCTGTGTAGTCTGGGTCAGGCTCGGGGTTACTGAGGTCATCTGGAAATACCAAATTCTGGTTTGGTAAGTGAATCCTCTTAACACTAATGAACAACAATGATAATGAAATAATGAAAATAACCCTTAACTAATTAAATGGATAACTGTATGAAAATGTGGCCTTGACAATAATAAAAACACTTAAATGATAATAAAACTGTACTGTCTACTGGAATACTGTATTGATATAAATGGCCCCAAGTAATAACAAAAGAAACACCAAATTGTAAAATTATATGAAAGTCTAACCTTAGTGAACCTGAGGCAAGGTAGTGCAGGGAAGTACTGTACACAACTTTTGTAAGAAGTGTAAAGGAAAGTATGGGCTTACAGATCTGTTAACCAATAAAAGAGGAATACTGTACATTACATATATGTACTGTACTGTATATCATTAATCATTAAATAAAAAAACTGAATGAATTACTATTACTGGTATAGAATACTGTACCTGTAGTTACTGTAAATGAAATTATGCAAATAAGATTGATCATAATGTTAAGTACAGTAGTACAGTATTGTACTGTAATAACAAACTACTGTATACTGTATCATTTTTTTTTAGTTTTCAGGGTTTTCCAATGAAAAATGAGAAAAAATTAAATTAACCTACCTGACCATAATATTTTGGGCCTTGAAGACGTAAATAAAAATTTTTTTAAGGCTTTTAAGCTCAATGTTTCATCACACCAGCTGTTAGTGGACCTCTTGTCTTTGTCAACTTTATTCAGATTCATTTATGTATTTCTCATTTCTAACACATCAGCTTACTAGCTGTTTGTGCTGTCAGTCTGTTCTTTGTTACTGTACAGGGTACTGTACTTTGTTACAACCTTCACTGTCCAATGTTAAAAGAAACCGGAGTACCCTGTAGCTGTACCCGGAGCAAACTTGTCATGTTTGGTAGTGAGGATCACAATGGATAACGCCCTTCTCACATTTGTCCTGGGCTGGGGATCAAACCCGGGATATAGTGTTGAGAGGCTCGTGCATTACCCCTCGACTTTTGTTCAGGGGACAGGAGTGTGGGGTACACATATTAAACAAACAAGTGATACAGTACATAAAAAAAGCCAGCAGACAGAAAAATCAAATGCCCATTTATTGCCTCTTAACTGGCATAAATTTTAAGTTATAGGTCTATATTGGTAAAAGGATTTTATTGAATTTGTAGACATAAACAAATAATTACAGGCACTAATATTTTTTACACTGTAGCAAGCCCATTCCTGCTATACTGTATTGGAGTGAGCCTAAGCTTTAGCAAACAGAGCCATTACTTACATTCACTGACAACCATTCCCTATAGACTACTAACATAATCTCCAAAACTACAGGTACTGTACTTAATGTCATGCACACCTGTCAGTCATACACATCAATAAACTGGGGTAAAAAAAAAGGGTACATTTCTTATTTATATTAAGAGTATTTATCATACCTTAATTGTATGGAGTAATATAAAAATACAATATAGTACAATTCAAGTATTTTATTAAAAAGTGAATATGATTACTGTATATACAGTATAGATGTACAGTTGCTCACAATTATAGTGTTCCACCCCTCGGTGGCCTTTCAACCAAGGGGTGGAACACTATACTGTACATTACCTGTGGACAACTATACTGTACCTGCCGTTAACCATCTGGCTACCATCACATGATTTTATTCAGCTTAGGGAAACCTTCAACAGCCAAAGGGTTAAATGAATGGATAAATATTATTCGGTTTTCATTAATTATGTGAATTAATTAATACAGTACCAAAGTAAGTGTTGTAACTTACATGTGATTAGCCCAAAGTCACTCTTGCATTAATATCATTACAAATTTGCCTGGTATTTTAAAATCAACTCGCCCTTAGTACATTTCCATTAACATTCTAAGGAGAACAATTATACAGAAATTACGAATATTTAATAGCTTACAAAAGTTGTACATCAAAATTAGCCTTAGTGTGACCTTTTAATACAAGATTTCTTTTTGTTATTCTGCAAATAATACAAAGCTAAAGCTGGTATAACAAACTTTATGACTCACAACAAGTAACTACTGTATACAGTAAACCTTGAATACAAAATTCAGTCATGTGAAATAATTGATACCTCCTTAACCATACTTTAGTGCACTGTACAATACTGCATACTGTATATAAATGTAAAATCAAGAGATATGGAAAAAGTTACAAAGCCACACCATATGTTTCTTAGCTAGGGGTACTACAGGCAGGTAAATAATGAATAAATTAATAAATCATAAACAATTACTGCTCTCTTTTTATTTTCAATTACCTTACATGATACTGTACTCTACTGTACTTTGATTTTCCTACGAATAAACTTCATGACATTACCCAAATAAATTTACAGGAAAAGTTCACACCAAAACACAATCTTTTAATATAAACTTTACAATATACAGTACACATTATCCACAGTACAGTCACCCAAAAAAGTCCTGTCACCTCTCATCCTGAACCATGAACCCTAAGATTCAGACTCCGGAATCCGAAGCATTTATGGACAGAATATTGTATCAATGTCCACTACTCCGGGTTCACGAGTCTGAATCTCGGGGTTCGTGGTTCAGGATGAGAGGCGACTGGACTTTTTTGGGTGACTGTACGTGACGTTGATGTTATAATGTTACTTTACTTTATCCACTGATTGACCTGTTAGCTGCGAAGTTATTGCTGTGTTCAACAACCTCTAGTTTAGTATCACACTAGTCCATAAACAATATAAAATCAGATGAAACTCTATACAGTACAGTACCATTGCACTATCTTTAATTTGTCCGAAGAAGTATACTGTGCTGAATTTTCAAATGTTCTTCTTCAGTCAGTATTTCCCCTACACCAATTTAATACAAAATTAAATAAACAGTATGTGGTCTAACTAGTGATAATTAATACAGTACAAACTAATTTAAGATTAAATAATAAAACTGACTCATTAACAATAATCTTTTGTAGTTATACAGTACTGAAATTCTCAACTTAAAAATAGTTCACTTGGCAGTTATTTATATCAAGATGGAAGAATGATAGATTAACAAAAGAATAAAAAAGTTCTGGCAAGTCTTCCTTTATTTGAATGTTATGTCCAAATACTTATTTAAATTTATTCAACCTTAATGAAATACAATACAGTATACAGTAACTATCAGTTTTACTTAAGATCACAATAATTTTTGTGAATACCTGTATTTACAATACATAACCTATGCTAAATTTCTAGTTTATCAAGATTCCAAAATTATCACTGATTCCACAGAAAAACAGATAAAATTAATTTATCTCAGCACAGGATTGTATTTGGCCACTTTTTATGTTCCCAATTAATATAACCTTTTATTTTAAATTAATTTCATCTATTCTAGTATCTCAGTTAATCATCTTTTGTCACTTTTCAGGTCTGAGAACATGAAGCAGTGACAGTAGCCTGACAATAGGATCATTATTGGGTTTTTAAAATGTGGCCCGGGCGGAGATCTGGCACCAGTGCATCAGCCTCAGGCCCAAGGTCGGTCCACCGAGATGGCCCAACCTGATCTGAAATTCTAAAGTGCCCTGACTAATTTCTGTTAACCTTGTCGCTCTCAAACCTCCATATATATTATAAATGGGATAGCAAATAGGGAAAAAATAACTTTCCGGAAATGTTTAAATATATTTGAAGGTTAAACATTCCAAAATATAAGGAGCAAACCCACACGTCTACATGAAAATGGCGACCGTCCGCCATTGTTGCTACTCCGCCATATTTCGGTGCCATATTTAACATGGCTGCGCCCAGTCCTTCATGGCGGACACAAAACAAAAACAAACATTGAAACTCCAAACATAACATCGCTAAATCAAGTGAACTTAACGATAATAGACCACCAATCAGCCAGCAAGACTAGCTTATCGATCTTTTGGCAAGGAAGACAAAGACTTCTACGTCGTATTCCCTTTATCCCGACAGTAAAGGAGTATTAGGACAGCCCATCTACACCATAGCTTCTACAAATTTCACTAAATAATCAGTTCTTACCTTCGTCAACCCCAGACGACCACATGGTGACGGAAAATTCTCCTTCTAAAGTCTTGATTTGGACTTGTTTTTGTTCCCACTTCTGCCCGACACTGGCGATTGAGGTGAACTCGTCTATTTCTCTTCTTCGTTTTTGTCCTTTTTTATGGTGTTTTTTAGAGGGGCCAGGAGAAGACTCCACACATACATCATTGTCCACAGGTACGGGAATTTCGTAAGGGATTTCCTGTTCACCGACAACTTCTTCCTGGGTTTGGAAAATTATCTCTTCCCGTCCAGGTTCAGGTAACTGTTGGAGAGCTATAATCGGTTCTCCATCGTATGTTTCTATGGTTTCTACGGGCATATCCACTGGTATAGCTTCTATCTCAACTTCCTGTATCTCTGGCTGCACTTCTACCTCCGTTACAAAGTCGGAGGAAGCCATTTTCCACAGGTAACAACGTTGTTGAACGCCGCTGTTCACCACAACACCTCCTCCACTATTGCCAGTTGTCCATTCTTACTCCAGCACCCGCTGCAACACACCACCATTATTCCAATCATCTTTATTTCTCGAAATATTTACTAAAAAATATATGTAATTATTCTCTTATAAGTATAATCATAATTAAATATCTCACAAAACTTTTAGGATATAGTTAATCGGAATATCGTGGACATAGGAAATATTAGGAACATGAACACTATCTGGGAACTGGTTACTCACACCTCGGAGTTGAATGTGAGCGCATGACGTCAGCCAGCGGCAAGTTTGACTGAGAGGAATTTCCACCTGCTAGTGTCAAGTGTGTTAATGGCAATACTTAATAACTCTTATGATGAAGATTCTGGACGAAGACTTCAACTCTGTATGTCCAGGTCTTCATCCATTTGCGAGGCATAAGTGGCGTTACTAAATATTTAGAGCTTAAAATAGATCGATATGGCATTTAATCAGTTCAATAAAGATTGTCATTCAAGTACACAGTGGTTCAGCATAACATACGTAGACAACCAACCAAGTTAAGGTTGATTTAATCGTTTTTACAAGTATTTTGTGATTTAACAAAAATATGGGATATCTTTTTATAATAATTATGGAACTGTAGTTTTCGTGTAGAATAGTGATTTGTGTAATTTTCAGTTTGTAGGTGTAAGTGACAGTAGTAGTATCATTATTATTAGTACTTATAAAAATACTGTACACATAGTCTAGGATAAAGATGAGGAATACGGTAACCCTATGTTTATTGACTTAATAGGTTTGGCTAGGAAATATCTGGTTAAATAAAATTCAAAAGGCCTAGATAGTTAACAAATACATCACATATAATATTAAGCTACGAGTATTCTTTTACTTACACTTCCACGAGGATTTTTTTTTAGGAGTACATGTTTTATGCAACGCACGTGTTTGGCGAGATATCCGCTCGGGAAGGTCTACGTTTTTCACGAGGTTACGTTTCTCCTGAGAGACGTTTGTGTCGAGACATTTTTTCACTGGGTACGTTTTCCCTGAGACGACAGAGGATGCTTCAAGTTATGTGGTCACGACACCGCCTTACTCTAGGGATATAATTTTGCCCTTTACATATCATATAACTTAATATTGATTCATATGTGTAAGGTGAACATATAAAAAGCTGAAAAACACCCGATAATTCTATTCGTTTAATTGTACAGTACAGTATTACCATAGCTTCCGTTTTCTATGAGATGGACCTGATACTATTCAAAACACATTACAGGCAGTTTATTTGTGGTTTACTGTATTATTTAATTGCCATACAAGTACAATACATACCCAGAATAAACGGACATATATGAAGATAAACGAAGGTGACGGAATATGCTTAGTTGTAAGCCTATTTACAGCTGTAGACGGTTGGTATACTAAGCCTAACCACATTAAAATTAAACAAAAATATTAATTTGAAAATACATAACCGATGAACCTACAGAAAGAAAAGAGACTCCATAATACTGACCAAATGACCAGGACATCTTGTATTGAAGTCATCCACGTTTATTTCATCTGCACTCTATACATTATTCTTGTTGAATCAATGTAAACTTATATGAAGATTTGACAGAATATCTATCTATCTATCTATCTATCTATTATATACGAACTCTACAGTCGTAACATAAGAAAGTAAGTATAATTTACCGATACCGTGTGTGTGTATTTCTGGCTGCAGGAGTGCGCTGAGAAGAAAGGAGATCCGGTAAATAATAATAAGGGTAGCCTATAATAATTATAAAATCGATTTAACATAACTCTTGTCAACCTCCTGGACCCTTACATTTTGGGCCCCTTTTTACCTTCATGGTCCCTTGATATTTGTGGTCTATGTTTTTTGTTGTTGTTTTTGCCTTTCTATGCCCTTGTTATTTTGGGACCCTTGTCGCCCTTGTGGCCTCCCTAATACTTTATAATATGGCATAACCCCCTCTCTCTCTCTCTCTTCAAGGCTCCACTGACAGCGGGAATTTGTACTAGTAAACCAATTGCCTTTGTCCCACTTGCAGTATTTGAGGAAGATAAATCGAGTCCTATTTTTTTTTGGGGGGGGGGGGGTGCACTCTACTGGCTTTAAGGCTTGGTGTTAGCGGGAGACAGGTTGTGTAGTGTTCTGCTGGGTTAAATGTGTAGTTAGAGGGTCAGTTAATACTAAATTATTAAAACGAATCAACCAAACTCAACCCACATAAACTAGCCTAGCCTTACATAATCTAATCTACCCTAACCTAACCTGCATAATCTAACCTAACATACTGTACCTACCTAACCAACACAACATAACCTAACCATATCTATCCTACCTTACCTAATTTAAAGCTCTTACAGTATATTTAGTTATAGGTTTAGTATATTAGTTTAAGTTTGGATAATTCGTCTTGTCTCCAGACTGAAGTATTTGTTGTAAAAAATGAAAAAAAAACTTGGTATATTCTTTCTACAAATGTACTAACGCTTCTTACTTATAGCATAGTCAATAATCACAAGGATAGATTTACATGAAGTGTAAAAAATACCGTGTAATTAATACATAAATAAAGTGTGATTATTCAGGGTTAAATCAAATTACAATAACCATCCACTACAACGGCTGAAGAGTAGCGTCATATTTTTGTCAAGAAACATTGGAACAGAATCGTAATATTAGATGATCATTTAGTGAAAATGGCCCCGGGTGATTTAGGTTCAATTTTCTTAGTGGATTGTCTCTATTTACCCCCGGACAATCTTGTTGCTGATTTGCATCGGTAGTCACGTCAACGATTTACAGTCCCATGTTGTAATACACGGAAGATACACAGATAAATCATGCGAGTCTGCTGGCCGAGAACAACGCCAACAGCAGAGCCAGATGCAAGGTTGTCCCAGCTTTAGCTTTCCACTGACAGAACTGGAGAAATGAAAGCGAGACTCGTAGGGCAGGTACAAACACAACACACTAGGATGTGGCCGGCACTGCACTCGACCGTCTTCACTTTCCATACAAAAAGATTAAGCGAACATTCACATCTGGGTTAAGGTTAATTAGGCGTCCATTCTATGTGGGTTAAGGTTAACTATAGAGGCCCTGAGCAAGAGCTGTCTATACACCCAGCCGCCGCACCCCTATGGAAATTGTAACCACTTCTAAGATTTTTTTGGTCTGCGGTAGTAAAGGAGAGTGAACGAAATAAATAAAAGAGGAGTAAACGACGTGTACAGTATATTGAACACACTTTATTTTGTGATATTGGCTACAGGAATTATTATCTACATGAATAGGTTATTTATAAAATTTCTCTCGTGCCATTCTCAGAACTGTTTATGTGGGCAAAAACAAACTTTCTTGTGTTTTTTGTTGTTGTTCTACACTTGTTTTTGTTGTAGTGGTTACAGCTGGTCCAACCCGAGGCGTACTGACCAAGACGCTCTTACTATTATTATTTGTATAGCAACACACAGCTATTTGTCATTATTGTCTCAATGATAAGAGAAAGGTTACGGTGTACAGTGTCGACGCCATTGTGAAGGTGTTTTATGCCTTGGCTCGAGACATCAATATATTAATCACATCACTAAAATATGGCTAGGTTAGGTTAGGGTTATATTAGATTAGGTTAATGTTAGGTTATATTAGGTTACGGTTAGATTAGGTTAGCGTTAGGTTAGGTTAGGTTGGCGTTAGGATAGTGGTAGTTAAATTTAAGGGAAAATAAGTTACTGGTTTATTTTCAGGTGATCCTTTATATTTGTTGTATCACTACAGAACGTTAAATAAATATCAAGGTTAGTCAGTTCCTTCTAGTGGGGAGGGGGGACACAGACCGGTAGTGACTCCAATAATAAGGGGTCCTGCTGCAGGTGGGAAGTGTGGGTACAGGTATATGCGGTCGAGAGGGTATCAATGTGTCTAGTATTCAATATTTCTCAGATTGTCTTCAAAGTTTTCTTTAAGTATACATGTATTATCTCCTTTTTCCTTCTTGTCATTTATTCATGAATATTTGTATCCATAACAAGATAATCATTTATCATCTTTATGTTTGCTCATAAGTAACACTTTACGGTACAAAAAGCAAATTTCTGAATCGTCTGAGATACGCGTCAAAATTTTTGTTGGAGAAATTCTACCCAACACCTTTCCTCTGGACAAATTCCCACCATTAATATAACAAAGTGCACAAAACCCCCCATAAATGTGTGTTTCTTTGAGCTATGATAGCCTGTTTGACTGGGGTAGTGCTGGCAGGTAGGTTAGGTCGTTAGGTAAGGTGAGTTTGTCAAAGGAATCACCACACTGCCGTATTCTGTCCCTTACTGGGCCACTAACATAATATAGCGCAACAAAATAATCGAAAATATCTTGAAAAGTTTCTTCCCTGTGCAAAAAACATAAGGTATCTGTGCAAAATAGAATTTACTTGGCGTCACAAAACAGGACCTTCATGTCACTTTCACTATGAGGTTGCCAACGTTTCTAATACATGTATATATTTGTTGGATTCTTCTGTGGTTCATATAATTAATGTAGCATTTGAAGGAATATACTTTGATTATTTTATTTTATATAACCAAATGATAATTTCAAGGATGATTTTTAATACTTAATATATAAAAAAAATATTATAGGCAACTGCTCCCACGTGCAAGGAGTCGGTGGGGGGGGGGGGAGAGTGGAGAACAGCTGAGCGTGAACAGTGAATGTTGGATATTAGACGGAGGAGCACCGACTGTCTCCTTGTGTATAATTTACGTTTTGTTCTATCACACAGCTCAACTTTCAAGTTTTACCAAATTGAAAAAAAGAAGTTCGCGAGTGATGAATATCCTGGAAAACGCCTGACTTGTTTTAAGATGGGAACACTGCCTTTACCGGAACAACTTTGGATGACATGTGTTGACCTTACAGGTATGTGATTAATCCTTGTGGACTGTTCGCAATTACAATAAACAGAATTCCCAGACATATGCTGTAAAGGGATCAAGTGTTAGGTGTCTGTGTGTGTGAATACGGTGTAGGGGAAGGTGTAAGGGGTTAAAGCGTCTTGGTTGGTGTGAGAAATTCAACCACAGAAAGTGAAAACATGGGTGTCGTCGCCTCATGGTACTGGTAAAAAAGCTGAGTTAGGGCCAGGTGATAGGGTGTCTTTGTGGTGCAAGTCCAGGGCCACATGACGTACTACACTTAACACCTAACGCCGAAACAACCCCATCCGTCCACCTGGATTGAGATTCTCGAAGCATTTTACGTAAATTATCACTTGAATGGGGTTAAGAGTGTATCTATATACAGTATGTAATACTTAAGCCAGTTTGGGTGCCTGCCCTTGCTTCAGCTTAAGTGATAAATGTTAATATGTCCTGACCTGGAGTTATGGGAAACAATGTAAAGTACTTATTTACGGAGGTGACTTAAAAATTATATACAGTTCTTGTTAAGTGTTTGTTTTGGCACATTACCACAACACTGCTGACCTAACCACCACTGTCCCCAGCCATGTGAAGTAAATGTGTATGTAGTGTTTTTTTTAGGGTAAATTTCTCACACCATATTGAAACACTATTTTTTCCTGATATATTCAGATATAAACATTTTGTGCAGGCTATGGCCGACTGAGTTTCTTTAGTAAACCAAAAGTCGGTTTTCCTAATTCATACTTCGGTCATTCGGGTAAAAAAATATTTAAATGGATTATCGAAAGTTACAGTACAGTATTTGTTTAGTGGTTCCCTTTAATGTTTATTCACAAGGGCAACACATTTTATTTGTAAAAGGAAACCGGAATTGCATATAATAACCGATGATTAATTTTGGTTTGCATTCTTACCGATAACTTACTGTTGAACCTGTGTGCGCTTGCCAACACGGGATTTCCACGCCATTAACACAAGGCGCTGGCTAGTGAAAGTCAGAATCATGGGTGTTATTGTTGATGGTGTTGACTCAGAGGTAAGGCTCGTGTCTTGTCAGCAGATTTACAATGGTGTCACTTAACACCAGGAATCAAACTATATTACAGTATTTACCCAAAAATTTGAATTTTAGACTTTCAAACATGACAGTTCAGGGTCTGATATTATTATATAGCATGTTACAGTATTCCGAGTTTCTAGAATTTAAAAAAAAATCCACGTAGAACATTTTAAATAGCCGCTACATTAGTGTACTTGATACAGGATTATGGTCAGTAACTTACAAGCTTGAACGCTAAGACCGAATCATGTAATATGCGCAGCGTCTGGAAGATGTAGTCTCCAAAGAGGGAAAAAAATGCCCTTGAGAAACCTCAAACCTGCCTCTAATCCTGGGACCGTCGAGATATTTTTCTTCTTTTGTTATGTTTTACTTAGATGCAATGCAAGAATATAGCGATGCGTCACAGGGAGACTGTAAACATAGATCATGGGAATGACTTAAAGACAATCTCCGTAATTGCCAGTGCGCGCACGGAAACAACCCCGCTCAGTTTCCGGAAGTTCTCTCTTTTTGTCCTTCAGGAAATGAGAAAAGTATCGAAGTACATTTATCCTGTTCATAAATTTGATAATAGATAGGCTAGTTTATTCATCAAAGTGCTTCCCGATGGCGAGGTTGATTTGTCAAGACCAGCTTGAAAGACCAACTGGAGTACATATTGCAACATACGGGTTTGCGCGAAATCCACGCCAAAACTGTCGGAGTCGATCAAATATTTTCATTAAAAAGCTTAGTAACATAATTTTTTATACTTGGTGCATATATAGAACAAGGCTTTAAAGTGATGTGTGAGTGTCTATTGTAGGGAAAAAATAGCCTCAGAACTGTATCTTCTGTAAAATAAACAAATTGAGTAAAAAAGCGGAGTTAAACTTTTTGGTTCATAAATTTATATAGTTGTAATTTTTGCAAAGGTAAGTGCAATTTTCTTTGAAGTATGAATACAGCATGAATTTTACAATATAAGCTGACTGCTAATGTCAAAAATATCATACTCCGAGCCCAGTTTACATTATCTGGTCTGTAGGAGCCAAATGAACCCCAAATGGATGTAAGGGCTATATTTTCAACGTGTTTACAGAAAATCAAGCTCGGTGACCTATATATCTTTCCCATCATTGTTGTCAAATATACAAGTGATTATTAATGATGGTAAAAAATCTAGATGTCTATTGTGCATCTATTTTGTAGTACATGTCCTAAAAGAAGTACCCGTAGAATTATTTACACAGAAAATAGGCGTATAGTCATATACCGCAGGAATAAACCACGGCGTCAAGAAACTGGGATAAACTTTATTACCATAGATCGTAGTTATATTCTTAACATTGACTATATGAACAGACAAAACATAGAAAGTATGAATAAACTCTTTCGACATTAGACAAGTAAGGAACGGAAGCGTGTGCGGAGATTAAACAAAGAACACAGTTTCGTAATATATACAGTATGTATATTTAGTGTTAAGGTACATTTGTTCTTGGTTAGTTTGGATGGTTTTTAGTTTGTTGTTAGTTCCGTATGTACTGTAGGTTAAATTCCAGAGAGCTCCTCCAGGTCAATATATTGTAGAGCTCGGATTTTCAGAAAAAACAGCATAAATGGAAGCAACTGCCCCACTACGTACACTCGTGGTATCCGTGAATGATGAACTAAAACATTCATTTGAAGCTTAACTTCATAATATTTTCCTCGTCTGCCATATTATACAGATAACATTCATACTGTTCATGTTAAACTTTGGCCATAGTGTGAACAAGAGAAGGTTTGAAGTTAATTAGTGATTCTTTATTCACATGTTTGTTGCTTGCTAGAACACTACTATACCATAATAATAGAGTAAATATAATATGTAGTAACAATAGGTGTGCTGGCAGTATGTCTCGGTATCAGAGGTGTAAGGATGGTTATCTGTAAATGAAAATATGACTTTCTAAGACAACTAATTACCATCTCATCGGCTCTATCTATTTCTTTATCTGTGAAGTGTAAAGGATTTCGGGTCGAGCGAGTGGTGTGAATTGACTGATCGTTAATAAGATACTGCAATCGGTGTTTGACACTTGTCATATAAAATAATTTCAACCAGTCAGTGATTACCCCAAGACAGGTATATGTTTACTTCTGTTTCATTAATTGACATTTGATAGTAATGAAACAACGTGGCCGTTTCACCATCACTTGACTCTAAAACACGGACATGTTTATACTATACAATGAAGTTTTCCTATTAGCTGCTTTATCAGTTATAAATCATATTAAGTATTGCTAGCATATGATTCATAGTCAAAATTGAATATGAAGTTTGTATGAGGAATATAATTAAGCCAATATTTAACAAAGAAGTAACTATTATTATGATAATGAAGTGACCACGATGATCATGAAAGTAGATATTCCATGACGTTGTATAGGTATATGCCCAGGACAGGCGGTCTTAATGTTGTATGACCAAAGACTATACAGTATACAAATACTGTACGTATAGTCTTTGCCGTGTGACCAATCGGCAGACTGCCTCCTGTTCAGGTCAACCCGACATCTTTGAACCAGGTCTTGCCAAACCTCATCGAGTGAGGATGTACCAGACCGCTTTTCTTGCTTTTATTATTAGTATGAACAGCCATGGTGACCAGCTCCTTTTATATAACACACTGCAAGGAACTTCGCAGGTGTTATCAGTTAAATAAGACTTGACGTGGACGTACATTGTTTTGTTATGTATATTGGCTTTGTTGACTCATCTTTCCGAGTTCTTTCTCTTCTTTTTGTTAATTTTGAAGGCGGACTTTAACCTTATATTATATTCTAACCTAACGTGAGTACGGTAAACTTGTGGATACCTTAAACTGCCCGCTGGTTTAGGTGCTGTGAACAACCAGACTTCTTTAGGAAGCGGAATTTCATGTTAAATCCCCCCAGTCCGTGATTATTGTGAAGTTAATTTGGTTAGTTTCATTTTCATTATTCTTTTGTAAACCAGATCAAGAGATTAAGTCAGAGACGCTAATGTGTTTTCGTTTGGTAATGGTTGTTATTATACCCCTAATCTAGCCATGAATCAGTGAAACCTTAAAACTGTACCAATGCTGATGAATATTCCTTTTGTTTGTACCATTTGAAGTTTTAACAACCCTTAAATAATACCTGTTATAATGCCATGGCGACCCGGGCTTGTGAACTGAATAGAAACTACAAAAAGCCGCAGATGCACTTCACTGGGTATCGAGCGGCCAAGGTAGACTTCAAAGGGAAATGCATTGAAATCCTCGTATTTTCTGCCGCATACAGGATATCGGGATCTTCAGACGTCCCAGGGAATTAATCTTGATTGGCACAGTTAATAAAATATGACTTGGCGGGAATTGGGTTGTCGTATCGTGTCTGAACTTTTTTTGTGAAGCCTATTGGCCAATCCTAGTGTATTAGTGGAAGTCGGGTAGTATTGCAGTTTTATATCCTAGTAATATATGGATCAGCTTATTTCACCAAGATTAGCCCCCAGCTTATGTCACCTAGATAATCCCAAAGCTTATTTCACCCAAGTGTATTTTCTGTTATAAATTTTAAGCCAAGTTCTTCATGTTTTTATATACTGTATATATTATACACCACATTAGGTTGCTCAAGACCACTGACAGCAGTTTTCCTCCTCAGGTTCAGATGCTGTAGTTTGTGTGGCGGTAGTTCAGCAGCAGCGGCCTTGTGAACAGTAGGCGAGGGGAGAAGCAGTACCGGCGCCAGAAGGGTATTTCTTGCCAGAGCGACTTTGCTACCAGCAGCATTTCTATACTACGACCACCACCAAGAAGAGCAACTGCAGCAATTATCGACTACGCCGGCACCCATCTACCACCACCACCAGTCGTATCGTAACATTTAGAAGAACTAGAAGATACCGGGTGTGGGCGGATGGGTCCAGAACGTCATCGGAGATTGCTGGGGGTGTTGGTGGTGTCGCTGGTGTTGCTGATATCGTCTTGGGTGGATGATGACGACCCATCCACTGACCACAATCCTACCACTCGCTCCTCCAAGGTGAGAGGGGTATGTCTATTTTTATCCTTGCATATATTGTTGTTCCTGTCCGGTTCTGTCAGTCGTGCCCTCAGCGAGATGTATGTTTTTTCTCTCCTTGGTCGTTTTTATGGGGGTTTTTCTTCGTTTCCTATGAACTTCTTTTTGCTTGTGACTTTTTTTCTCGCCAACACACATTATCCATCTTGTCTTTTAAGAACGGTTGGATGAAGGGAGTTCAACTGGGTACGTGATTGAGAGAGAGATCAATCTTCGTCCGTCATGCCAAGGAAAACGGCGACATATTACGGTACTCTCAAGGTCTCGGAGATAAATAGCCGACCACTACTAACCCACAACTTCATACTAGTAACTAGTCTTTCACCTTGACTCGTGGCTGCAGGAAACCCTATTCTGAATAATATATGTATAACACGTCTCCCCTCCCTATCTTCTTTTTCCTAAGTGATGTTTATTTACACTTTTTCTGATTCAGTTTGGTTAAAATTCACTCGGTGCGCCTGGCTGTATCTGGCAACTACTTGTGTCATTTGTGGGATGGAGTTTGAAAATTTAACATACGTTTACTGACTTTTCTGTGATATTTCTTTGTACCTGTATTATTATTTTCACTTTAATCTGACATAATCGACAACATTCTCTCCCTACCTAGCCTAACCCCCCTTAACCCGGGATACGTTTGACACCACCCCTTCCCTCCCTCCTCTTCCCCACCCACCCACCCTCCCACTCCTCCCCCGTGATATCCCCAGGCCACATTACAAGGACGCGGTCTTAACTGTGGGTGCATAGAGATGATTATGCTTATTTTTTGACACTGGACAGGTCTCAAATGCATTCTACCACCTCACCAGAGTAATAGATTTCGTTGTAGTTCACTCTTGTGGGAGTAACACTATTTTTTTGTAGCCGGTGATGCCAACGTCTATAACCTTTTGATGACGTCTTATCAATTGTTTTCTTTCCGCAAAATTGAGACGTGTATAGAACATTTAGTGTTACATCTTAATGAATGTGTTTGTGTATTATCATTTGCTGAATTAGTCACGTCTTCCGTTTCACATAGTGTTTAAGAATGTGTAGACGCTGTTCCTGTACATCGATGTTTATACAGTACTCTTGTGTATTCTCTAACCCAGTGTTTCTCAAACCTTTTCACTTCATTCCCCCCATGAGGAACTCTCAACATCCTCGTGGCCCCCCTTCAGTTCCCTCCCAAGCCCCTCACAAATAATGATGAAAATAAAACTGTTCTGGTTCTCTTCCTTTATTTTAATCATAATATTTCAATCCTCAAACAGAATGCATATTTTGTTAGTTCAATGGGATGGATAACATTGTTTCCTTTCAGTCAGTCAACTGATTCGAGGTTGAGTCACTGATAAAGCACATCTCATGTCTGGTCTACATGTAACCGGTTTCGACTTTTATTCTCTATTTGAAGAAGGTGGAGACACCAGATTCACATAAATAAGTAGTAGAAAATGGCAAGAGGACTCGAAGTGCGATCTCACTAACTTTTGGATATGACTGATACATTGAGCACCAGAATACAGTCAGAGATTTTTCTTCATAGAGGTCTCTGGCAGCAGAATCGTTCTGAGATCAAGAATTCGTCTGAACTGGACCTAGATTCTTGCAATCTGAGCGAATCCGTTGGAAATTAAAAACTAGCTGCTGCACCATACTGTGTAAATATCAATACTGTACCGTATGGGTATTATGATTACACACAATGAAATTTTTTTCCCTTAACAAGGCAAAGTAACAAAAACAAAAGTTGAATCAGTTTCCACATTTTCTCCAAACATATACTACTTACACTAGCCTGCCATGGCCCCCCTAAAATCTTGCCGTGACCCCTTTGGGGGCCATGGCCCCAAGTTTAGGTTTATAATTTATAAACCTAACCAAAACATAAGATTGCTGCCTCCAGTCCTCGGTAGCAAAGTCTTAATTAACTTTGGAAAGTGCAAGATTGTTTATTGGCAGCGTTGATCTTGTCGCGCAGTGGTCAAACTTGAATAATTAAGTTAACATTGTTATTGGAGGAGGTATTGGGGGGGTGGTCTGGAGACGTACCGTTGATTGGTGTGTTTTAAAGTTGCCATTAAATGACATCATTGGGTATTGCCACGTGATTGGTAGAGAAAGGCAAAGAGTGTGAGGTAATGATTAAGAATGACTGTTGTGCTGTGATTGATGGGAATTCTGTTATTCTTAATGGTATCTCCTACGTCACCATCTGTATTTCTATATACTGTACAGGTGCGACACAATACTGGGCTTCAAAATGTTCTGAACAAAACGGGTGTGTGTGTGTAACTATCGTCGTCTTAAGAGGAGTGTTGCTGGGTTTTGAATGGCATTAGGACCTCACGATGTGTTGTTTCTTGAGTCCGGTATCCAGTCAGTCAGCCAGCAAGGGAGGGAGGGAGAAAGAGAGCGGTCTGCATGTAACGCGTGCACTCTCACAGTCGAACCATATTGTTAAAGTGATTGCTTATACTGTATTAATTTTATCGTCACTCTAGTACAGGACTCCTTGAAGGTGTATCAGATACACCAACGTCAGTAATAATTCATTCATACCACTACATGATGACGTGTTCACTTTATAATAAATAATGACGTAATGGGATAGTGGGTAAGACTAGTACTGGTCCCATGATGAATCTATAGTGTAAAATAATTGACTGTCGGATTACCTGAAGATTAGACACCCTCATAAATTTTCACAGGAAGTTTAGCCTTAACGCTACCTTGGGGGTTAGTTTAACATTAGGGTGGTTAATCTTCAGGTGAAATAATGTGGGGTAGGGGGGGTATCTAATGTTCAGGGGATCCCCTGTCATTATATTCCTGACCTGACTGATGAATGTTTTCCGCGTGTTTGGAATGTTTTATGGCACATTTGCTTGCTGATGAGATGCTGGCGCGGCGTGTGTGTGTGTGTGCGCGCGCGTGTGCGTGCGTGCGCGCGCGACTCCCGGAAAGTTTGTGTAGAATTATACCAACCTTGTCTTGTAATAACCAGTGTCTAGGAATAATGCTTGATATTATGAATAAATGCACTTTGGTATAAATTACGTATACAGTAGTTTGATTACGCTTGTAAATATTGTTAAATAGATAGTGACGGTGGTAATCGTTACGGTTGGTTGGGTAACGACCGCGTGACTTGGTGTTAGTGTACAGGATCTGGGTGACAATAAGTTCTGGTCCTGTAAACACGTGACTCGTACGGCCGTCGCCAGATTATATATATATATGTGTGTGTGTGTGTGATCAATTCAATTTCAATTGTTTATTCCTTGATAGAGGAAGCGGGATCCTAGTGCTGTCACTAGGTACCCCTGTTGTGTGTGATCTGTAATGCCTCTCCTCACATACAAGCTGCCTGCCTGTCTCACCCGTCACCACAATACGATCCAGTACAGTATTTTGGTGTCCGTTTTTCTTTTACAAATGGACACATATTTGAAGTTTACTTTTTTCCATTTATAAACGACATGTCCCTGTATAATTACACTTTTATAATAATTTGTGCCTTTAATAAATACGTTATTGTAATACCAAATATTTTTAAAAACTTTCATAACTTTCATTCACAAGCGGATTACTCAGCAATCACTCAACACTTTCATTCATGCCATAGATATTCACTCATAAATCAACCCATCTACAGTATTTATCCAGACGTTTGATGCACCATGAGCTAATCGATCCACCAACTTAATCCACATCCTCACTATATTATGAAACTAATCAATCCAACAACTTATCCATCAATCCACCTGTACTGGAAGTTTGATTTTCTCTCTTTATCTTTCAGCCGGTCAGCAGGAGGATCAGCAAGCCCGTGTGGGAGGAGGATGGAGGGAAGAAGAGGAAGGGCGACCATGGAGGATACAACACACCCACAGATGAAGAGGAGGAGGAGGAGGAGGAGGGCAGTGGGCCTTCCTTCGCCAAGTCCTTGAAGGCGAAGTCTCGTGAGTAGAGCTAGTTTGGTTAGGTGCAGGGGTTAGGTTAGGTTAGATAGGGATTGATAGGTTGGGATGGATTGGTCAAGGTGAATGATTTTCTGAAGCTCAAAGATGAAGACATACTGGGAATTTTGTAATAATTTTCAATGTCTGGTCTTTGAGGGAGACAGGTCGAGTTAGAGAGGGGGTGGCAGGGAGAGCTAGGGAGCGGGTGGCAGGGAGAGCTAGGGAGGGGGAGGGAGATAAAGAGAGGGAGGAGGGAGAGTGTAAGGCCTCTGTTAGGTCTCAAAATTAATAATATGCTTTGTTGATACAGTACAGTGATGAGTTGGCATTATACTCACCTCTCTCTCTCTAACTCGACCTGTCTCTCTCTAACTCGACCTGTCTCTCTCTAACTCGACCTGTCTCTCTAACTCGACCTGTCTCTCTCTCTCTAACTCGACCTCTCTCTCTAACTCGACCTGTCTCTCTCTCTCTAACTCGACCTGTCTCTCTCTCTCTAACTCGACCTGTCTCTCTCTCTAACTCGACCTGTCTCTCTCTAACTCGACCTGTCTCTCTCTAACTCGACCTGTCTCTCTCTAACTCGACCTGTCTCTCTCTAACTCGACCTGAACTCGACCTGTCTCTCTCTAACTCGACCTGTCTCTCTCTAACTCGACCTGTCTCTCTCTAACTCGACCTGTCTCTCTCTCGAACTCGACCTGTCTCTCTCTAACTCGACCTGTCTCTCTAACTCGACCTGTCTCTCTCTAACTCGACTGTCTCTCTCTCTAACTCGACCTGTCTCTCTCTAACTCGACGTGTCTCTCTCTAACTCGACGTGTCTCTAACTCGACCTGTCTCTCTCTAACTCGACCTGTCTCTCTCTCTAACTCGACCTGTCTCTCTCTAACTCGACCTGTCTCTCTCTAACTCGACCTGTCTCTCTCTCTCTAACTCGACTGTCTCTCTCTCTCTCTAACTCGACCTGTCTCTCTCTCGACGTCTCTCTCTCTCTAACTCGACCTGTCTCTCTCTCTCTAACTCGACCTGTCTCTCTCTCTAACTCGACCTGTCTCTCTCTAACTCGACTGCCTCTCTCTCTAACTCGACCTGTCTCTCTCTAACTCGACCTGTCTCTCTCTAACTCGACCTGTCTCTCTCTAACTCGCTCTCTCTCTAACTCGCCTGTCTCTCTCTACTCGACCTGTCTCTCTCTCTAACTCGACCTGTTCTCTCTAACTCGACCTGTCTCTCTCTCTAACTCGACCTGTCTCTCTCTCTCTAACTCGACCTGTCTCTCTCTCTCTAACTCGACCTGTCTCTCTCTCTCTAACTCGACCTGTCTCTCTCTCTAACCTCGACCTGTCTCTCTCTCTAACTCGACCTCTCTCTAACTCGACCTGTCTCTCTCTCTAACTCGACCTGTCTCTCTCTCTAACTCGACCTGTCTCTCTCTCCTAACTCGAACTCGACCTGTCTCTCTCTAACTCGACCTCTCTCTCTCTAACTCAGCCTGTCTCTCTAACTCGACCTGTCTCTCTAACTCGACCTAAACTCGACCTGTCTCTCTCTAACTCGACCTGTCTCTCTCTAACTCGACCTGTCTCTCTCTCTCTAACTCGACCTGTCTCTCTCTCTCTAACTCGACCTGTCTCTGTCAACCTACCAACCTCCTCTTCTTCTACCTCCCCAACCTAACCCAATGACCTACACAACCATATTTCCTCAGGTTGGTATGTGAAGACTCCGAGTTTCTATTTTGATCTCTACTCGTGTCTGCCTCGATTCATATGTGAGGTACACGCCCAAGCTTCCAGCACCGAACTAACCCAACTTGAGAAGGACGTTATAGGACTCTTCAGGTAAGTCCTATGCACAGTACAGCCTTGTGGATGTGAGAAAGTGAAGGAGAGAAGGACTTCGGATATTTATTGGGTAATGAGGAGTAAGACACATTTAAGACCCTCGAGTGAATTTTCTTGACTTTCTTAACATGGGAGTGTGAGGAAAGGGACTTGTGGACCACCAGTGAATGAATTAAAAGTCATGGGAGTGTTATGGAAGATGGTGGAATGAAACCGAGTGTAGATGACTTGTGGATGTGGGTGACAGTGTATGAAAGGACTTGAGGATGCAGGTGTGAGTAGATGAAGGGGAGACGTGGATGAAGGGGAGTCGTGGACATGGATGAGTGGATGAAGGGGGATTCGTGGATGAGTAAATGAAGGGGAGACGTGGGTGAGTGGATGAAGGGGAGCCGTGGACATGGATGAGTGGATGAAGGGGGAGTCGTGGATGAGTAAATGAAGGGGAGACGTGGGTGAGTGGATGAAGGGGAGCCGTGGACATGGATGAGTGAATGTAAATGGTATATTGGATGTCAGTGAGTGAATATAATGGACTTGAGGACACCATACTGTATCTTGTCAAATTTTGCTTTATTAGTGGCTGTATTGATAAACATAATTAAGGTAACTGATCTAATATACCATTTCCTGTTCTTGACACTTCTTAGACATGGCCATCACTCTGATATTCTCACTTTACTCACGTTTTATTTATGCATTTTAAGTTTGGAGAACTTGTATATTTTTTGCAGTTATTGTATATTTCATCCGAACTAAAACATTTTCCACATCTCATAAATCTGACTTTGGTTCAGGTGTAATAGATCACAATTTTGACATCTTCCATGCCTTACTTTCATGTTGTATCCTTCGTGTGTAGTCAACTAAGAATCCCCCATTTCACTTAATGCAGTCCCTCATCATCCTTGTGTTTGTGTAATTGTGTGTTTGTGTGTTTTCTTTGTGTAATGAAAAGCCTAGGTCACATTACACAATCCTGGGACAGTCACATATTTATTTCAGAAATACTGTACTGATATCTCACGTCTAAAGCAAATTTCCTTTTATGTCTCGCTACAGGATACAGGTAACTCCTTTCTGTCACTTAGGTATTACTGCCTCTATTCATTCAACAACAGTCTTTCAGGCATGAATTAATGTGTAGCAACTGTCCAAACTCTAATCTGTATACATATTATAACTTAATTTGTGTAGTGTGTGACTTAATGCCTGGACTTATTTGCTTCTTTGCCATGATTTGATTTATTGTACAGATTGTTACTAAAAACTGCAAATATTCTCTTCCTCAAATCTGAGTGGGAAAAAAAATCGCGCTCGACGTCACTAAATCTTGCTAATTAATTACCCCAACGTTATAAAAAACGAAAATCTTTGTTTATTATTACTCTTCCATGTTATTAATCTAATATTTCCAGGAACTATGTTGTGCTGGAAGGCCCTGGATCACCCGCCTACAACTACCAGCTGGCGGCACATATGGGTCAGCTGGCCACAGGACTCGAACCTTCGCCCTGTCACTCTCTCTATTCTTCCTGCCCACTCAACAGGCTCCAGGTCATTGAAGTCCTCAGGAATGTCAAGAGCACCAAAAAGATATTTTCCTAATGAGTCTCGGAAGATTGTGCGGTTTATTGATTTTTTTAACTGAATTTTATGTTGCTAGCGGATATTAGAGGAGTGATGAATTTCTAGAATTTTTTTTAAGGATCCGTTGGTGTTTCTAGGTTTTACTGGTTCCCTGGTGTTTTCCCAAGAGAGTGTATCCAAAATGTGTAAAAGAATGCTCACATAACAATGAAGGTTTTTGGGAACATCAGAGAAATCAAAAAGATAATTTTTTTTACCGATCCCTTGGTATTTGAGACAGAAGAGTGTGTACGTCCACTAAGTCCTGAAGCAATTTTCGTATCGGGAAAGAAAAATTATAAACCTATTGTGAATGAAAATATTTGTCGTACAATCATTGAAATCTGAAATGGCTTGGATATCTAGGATTTGTTTTGTGTGAACGTGAATGACTTGTGGGACAAATTTGTTCATGATACATACATACAGTAGGTAAATGAAAGTATTGTACTATACAGTGTTAAGTAAGCAGTTGGTTACCAGATAAATGGAAATAAAGACAATTCTAGGTGCCAAGAAGTGATATATAGTGCCTTAAACGTAATTAAAAAGTGCTAAATAGTATTATACAGTGAGAGATCAACATTGGCTTCTGAACACATTGAAGATACTCATGATGCTGATAATGGCTTTGATATCATAATTTCTTGTTGATATACCTAAGTGACTTCATTAATTTATATATTTGTTGTGAGATTAGGATGTAATGGTGTTGATTTGCTGAAGTGCCTTAAGAAATGATTCAACTTGGCTCTTAGAGTGAACGTGAAGTCAATTTACTCAAGTGCCTTAAGAATTTAATTGGTATGTCTTCTGTGTTTGTCCCTAAAGTACCATGAGAGTTGTGGTACGTACAGTCTCTTTCTCTATTTTTTTCCCACACTACATTCCACGTACATTTAGTTTTTAAAGTCTGAGCATCATTCCATAGACCATACTAATAAAAAAACATTATCTTCTTAATCTAGCCATTACGTTAGGGTTTGACTGAATAAGCAAGTATACAGTACAGTATACTTGTCACCCACAACATGAGGATCAACTTGCACCTGGCTTTCACTGTGTATCATTTGCTCAACACATTCTGCCACATGAAGCTTCCCCATAACAAGCTTGAACTCTTGTTACATCTTGAATCTCTGTCTTCACATTATTTGTATCCACTCAGCTCTGTTATGTTTTCCTCGTTCGTAAAACTGCAGGTACAGTACTGTATTTTTATCTTTGTTGAGTTTTAAACATTCCATAGTTTTTAAAAGACAAGTTTGACCTTGGCTTACCATATAACCCATACATGTATATGTTTTTTCTCGCCTGGTTTTAGTTTCCATTGTAGCAATACCCAGAGAGTGCCTATTTTTCTCTCCCTTGTATATCTAGGGGAAGGACCTATTTTATAAATCATGGGACTAAGGATATGCACTTTTACCTCCACATGAAAATTTTTATATATGAACGATTTCATTATATTGTACCCATCTATTATTAATTATACTAAATATTACAGCTCTGTGTTTTCATGTTATTTTGATACTCTTAATGGTTTTGTGATGTTTATACTGGATGTCATTACCCTTTGCATGTAGATTTTATTAGTTCAAGGACCCAGCCACGCAGTGTTATTGCAGTGACACCCATATATGGTCAGTGTTTTGACAGGTTTTAACTATTCCTTTTGTGGCTATGACTTATCTGACACACGTTTTGTTCCTGTTGTAAGGCTTTATAATGAAATGACTAATTTTTGTGTCTAAAAATATTATCTCATTGATAGCACAACGTATAGCAAGGTAGAACAAAAATTAAAAATTGTGATACTGTACTGCATCAGGAATTCGAGTTACCAGTATTTAGTTATCAGTACGGGAAGGTCGGGGGAAAGTAGATTGGAACAAGTTGAGCAGAGAGGCGCCTGGTCATAATGGACCCAGGATCATGTGAGGTGTATATTTATGATAAGATAAACTGAACTCACATTGTTGTAACTAAACACTTTTGTTGATATAACTTACAGTAGTTTGTTGTCAGCCGTCTACCCTTGACCTTCATGTGTTGGCTCACCCCAGGTGCAAGTCGACATAGGTTGTCGAGATATGATGGAGAAACTGCACCAACTTGTTCCCCTACTCTCCTCACCCCTTCCCTTATCATGTCTACATGGAAATGATGAAGACCCATCCCAGAACATGTTTGTAGATATATACGGTATATATAGTATATGTGTACAATATATATATTTTTCTAACAATAGGCTGTTAAGTGTGATTAATTCGTGGAAAGAATGTTTGTGGATTTTGGAGTATTTTTTTATGTGCAACTCTCCCCTTCTCTTGTCTGTAGGGAATACATCACAGTATATGGAAAAATTAAGTTAAATCTGTATGTGTATGTGATGAATGTTTTGTGATATTTAAGAGTAGTTTTGAGCAGTGTTAAGAAATGTAAATTAGTTTCCAACATACCCATCCAGCTCTTCCAGCATGGCAAGCGAGATAATGTGGCGTTCCTCTACCCTATATGCTCTGCCAGGTATAATAGGCAGATTACTGGAGCTTCTCAAGGGATTATTCGACTGGTAATATTGTGTTTTATTGGTCATCGCATAATTCTTGTCAATACAAACTCCATGCAAGTTTGTGAAAGTCCCCAGGCTTAGACTTTGACATAAGGGCACACCTTATACCCTGTAATTCATCATTTTAAGTCGGGCTTTGTGTGTGGACTTGACAAGGTTTCTGAAGCTGTCAGACGTAGGTGAAAGTCATTCATCGTCTTGTTCTGGTTTGAGCTGATCAGTTATCATAAAGACTATTGACACAGTATATGTTCTGTTCGTTCCTTCACTTAATGAAATCGTTTGGTTTCCATAAAGTTTCTGGTCGGGTGCTGCGATAAAAAGATATACCCCTGTACTATGATTTTGCTTTTTATTGTGATCAACATATAATAGATTTCTTTGGTAAGAAAGTGTCAGCTGGTAACTATAATCTGATCATCTAATGTGGCCATAAAGTATTAAGTGGACACGCGCTTGCCATAAAAGAGCGCCTTTGAAAACAGAAAACTGACCAACGTTTATTTGGCATAGTTAATGTATTAGTCATTAGGTGGGAGAACTTTGGTTTGGCTTAGCATCCAGAGTCACGTCACTGTTGGGTGGAAACAGCTGTTGAGGCTGTCTTGTCTGGTAGGAGTCATAGTGTAAAGCTGAACTGTCACGAGGAACCAAGTTGGTCATAAATGCTGTCAACTCCAATGTCTAGTCCTATGTGTAGAATTAACTTTGATTTTAGATTTGCATGAACCATTTATTATTTCCTTTGTCTTCCAAGGAACTGACTATGCTTTTATTTTTAATTACAGTACTTATTTTTTTTTTTAATAAAAATAATGGAAAAATGTGACTTTATATCTCTCCTTTGTTCTACCCAGTGTGTCGACTTGCTTGTTGGACAGAGATTTTATGGAATATTCTACCCACCAAGAACATCAAAGGGGTAACTTAACACACTTGGCTGCAGCGTATACCTTAACACCACAGCAATACTCCCCCCCCCCCAAAAAAAAAATTAAAATAAAATTCTAGTACAATATATATACAAGCAATTTGCGTGTCCCCTGCCAAATGAGATAACAGTGATATGAGCAAATATTTTTTTTATAGTACAGTAGTAGTATTAAAATATTGGACACTTGTACTCGGAGTAATTCTTAAAAGGAACGCATTTACTGAGTGAGGACTTGATACGTGCGCGCACACCAAATTTATCCAGTACTGTATATAATTTTATTTTATTTTATTTTTTACAATTATTGTACTCGCTTCTATAACCGTATTTTACAAGCAAAAAATTTAGCCCTAGTTATACGTACAAACCCAAACGCTTAAACACAGTCGGCTCATTTACGCATAAAGTAGCTTCCCACAACTACATTCCTCCACTTCTATTGCATCCTTCATACCATTCTTCCATTCCTCTTTTTTTCATGGTATTGTCCTCTCCTTTGTACCATCATCTATCATCAACCATTCCATTTCCTCTTTGGTCTTTCCCCCTCCTATGTATTATGCTTTATTTAGTCTTTTTTTTTTGTCTTCCTCTCGCCTTTCTGCCACCACCTACCCTTGATCTATACACGCTTTTCCCTTGCTCCCATCTTTAACATTTCAATAGCGAATCCATCTACTGTTGCCATACCGTTCTTCAGCTTGATTGCAGCCAGTTTCTCCTACTTGTCTTCCTTTGTCACTTTTTTCCTCATTCGTTTTGACAATATTCAGTTCATCATGTACAAGACGGGATAAGATGTTTAAAATATTATCCATCTTTTTATTTAATGTTTTTATGTGATATATATCCCTTTTCATATTAAACTTCGATATCCATTTGTGCTCTTGGTTTTCTTACTTAAACTTCTCTTCAATCTTACTTATACAGTATATAGACAACTTCATTAGTATCGACACATGGCTTAATGCAACATTTCACGCCTATAAACAAACTTCATATATATACTGTGCATACACACTTCATAAGGATGCATACTCATTTCATATGTATACAAAAGCACGTGTTGCAATAATTACACCCGCCACTTTATTGAGAAGCCTGCAAGGTGACGTAGGTAGGCAGATGGGGGCGGCAGGAACGTAAACATGTATGGTGTACTAGACGGCCAGGAGGAGCACTGCAAGAACTGTTAGTGTTAGCTAATTACTGTGAACTCTTACTCTGTTTTTTGGCTGCTCAAACAAGGCAGACATTACTGAACCAAATTATTTTGTTTGCGTAGAAGACGAGAGGATGGCAATGAGCCGGGAGGAACAAACAATTGGTACCCGACCGCCGACAATAAGCTTGGATAGCAAACCTCCATTGCAGTCACTTCTCGCATTTGACTAGTTTCTTCAACCACAGATATTGTTCAGATGTTTTAATCACAAGTAAGTAATGGGAACGAAAATTTTAATTATTAATGTACGTGGGGAATGTGTTACTATAGACATTTAACTTCATTGACAATTTTAAGTGACTGTATTTAATTTTAGGATCACCTGAAGATTAGACACCCTAACGCTACCTGGGTGTTAGCTTAGGTTAGGTCAGCGTTAGAATGGTCAATGTTAAGGCGAATTACTATTTCCTACACAGACAAAATATAACAATGTACTGTTTACCGGGTCTTGCCTCATTTGGTCACATGAGATTCAGTGTTAGCAAGGTACTGATATCTGGGTCCCAAGACACTTATTTAAGTCTCAAAAAACAATATCGTGCCAAGTTTGAACCACTGAAGTGATACTTTTATTGTAGTAGTAGTAGTGAGTGCGTATAAAATTAAGGTTCTTGTAATGTCATCAGCGTGCTTATGAAATTAGTCACGGCAATTTCCCAGTCTGTCACCGTAAACCTTTATCCTGGTTAATTATTGTGGATTATGTGATACAGTATTTATTGTAGTATCACGTATGGATTGTATCTTATTTCTTTTAATGCCTACGTAACATATTTGATTTAATCTATTCCTAGTTTTTAATATTCCCTTCTCTTTACTGGGTATTGTATTTTGTTATTATATGCAGGTAAGAGTACGGAATAATAATTAACTAAATGAAACAGAGAATTATATAATTATTTTTCCGCAAACAAAGCAAACGTCTCTCGTGTGAGTTACTGTGTGTGATATATAGTTGAAGTCACGGCTCGGCAATACCAGACAAAATAACATCGACATTACATTGAGGCTACAGAAGAGAAGTGGGCAAGTGGCGTAAGAGGATTTAATATTATTAGAGAGGAGGGGGTGTAGGCGGGATGAAAGGGCGGGTGGGGATGAGAGGGTGAGTGGGGGGGTGGGTGGTGGGCAAGGCGTAGAGGGATAGGCAGGTGGATGGGAAAACCAAGCATGATAAATGTGAGGACAAATGCGTGGAAAAGGTGGGTAGAGAATGGAAGAATGGGGGGGTATGTAACGGAGGGCGGGGTTTAGGGTGTTGAGGGTTGGGTTTGGCAGGGGTCTAGAATTAAAAGTGGGCAGGCCTGAGAGTTGAGGTGGGAGGGAGGGGCTTAGTAATAAAAGTGGGTGGGGGTGTTAGGGAAGAGGGAGGAGTCTAGTGGTAAAGGGGCGGCCATATGTAGAACCTAAAGTGGGCGGGATGTAAGCAACCTAATTGTAAAAATGGGCGGGGGGTAGGGAATGATTTGGGTGGAGCGTCAGGGGGGAGGGAAAGAGGGAGGGAAGGGGGGTCGGGGGATGGGGTTGGGGGGGCGGGAACAGCGGAGGTATATAACCCGGGTGGTCACTGTAGGCAGAGACTTGTTGAGTGAGTGGTGGAGGAGACCGTACGCCCTACACACCGTCTCCCGTCGTCTCCTCGCCCGGGTCTCCACCACCCTATCGTTGGCCTCTGTTGAAACCTGCAACGGAAATCTGTTTTTCGTGTAAACCCAACAACAGTGACAGGTACCCAATGCCTCACTGCTATTATTATTTAAAGAAAGTGTTTTGCTTATATTGTTCTTTTCTTAGAGGAATTGTGCTTCTTTTTCGTAACTTAGTCCATGTGAGAGAGTTGGCTTTAGGACTTTCCCGACTCGGTAAGGCTGGTTGGTCTTTGTAACGGCAGCATTACCAGAGCACTAAGACCTCTCTCCCCCCCCCTTCCGCCAGCCTCTTATCTCTTAGTCAACCTACTGGGAATTCTCCGCTCAGTGGTAAGGGTATAATAGCAATAAATAATAACAATACTAATATGTGGTCTTGTGCGTGAGTTAAATGTGAAGAATTTTGAAAACTACTTCGACTGTAATGAAATATACTGACGGCATAGTGACAGCTGACTTTATTTTTCTTCGGTATTTCTTTATCTGTGGACGACGCGGGGACTCCTCGCTAAAATGAGCAGGGTGAAAATTTGAAGGCGGAGTGTTTTATATATTGTAGGAGTCCAATATTTTATTATTTGCAGTATTTTAGATTTAAAATGTCCTTTTATTCTCTTGTGAGTTAAGGCCAGAAGTATGTTTGTGTTATTATTATTATTATTATTATTATTGTTATTATTATTGTTATTAATGTAAAATGCAAAATATTTCCTGTAAGAGTCAACGAGAACGATATCCACCTTGAGTTTTAACAATTATTACAGGTCTTCAAACGTATATTATAGATTAGGATATTCATTAGTCATTTGTCGGGTTGAAACGAAAAAAATGCTAACGTTATGATTTTATTACTACATCTCAACAGTTTAAATATTTAAGGAACAGAACTGGTATATTTATGTGATGCCCCGAGTTCAGAATATTATTATTTTGCTTCAATAAGTGTCATGTACAGGGTCAAAAATTTTTAATGAACTGTGAAGCGTTTGACATTTGATGATATACAGTACAGTAATTTGTATTTATGACTCACCATTTGTTAACGGGAAAAGTTTGTTGAATACGGGATAAATTACGACACTTTTTTGTAATGTGTGTTTTTTAATGTTTCATAATTTTTGGGGGGATAATGATTGTAATATATTTAGAATTTTAGGTTTAAACTGTTAAAAAGTCATTACACACCAGCATAAGTTTATAATTTCTTAGGATATACAAAAATTTTTACAACCAAGGGATCGCATCACTGGGTCGGACAAACTGTTGCTCCTCGAGTGGTGGTGACTGGCCGCCCGCCTAAACTACCAAACACTGAGTCAACTTGTTGCTTCCACTCTCTCTTCTCTCTCTCCTTCCCTCCACTGTAATCAATAACGTTGAAGATCTCTCGAGTACAGTAGCTCAGTAATGGTGGGAGGTCTTACGCTTTACTTGGCAATAATGGTTGTTTTCTTTGACCATATATTTGCGTAGTTATTGTAGATATCCTTGTAGGCCAGCGTGGGGGAAGGGGGTCGTATACGCTTTACTTGATAAGAATGGATGTTTTTACTTTACGAAGACGTTATTCATGTAGATGTGAGTATTTATTAGAGACATGAGGCAGGAGTTTTTAGCATTGGAAGTCGCCAAAATGTGGTGGATTCATTCATTAAACGTTGTTCTTCATAACAGTCACTACTACTACACACACACACACACACACACACACACACACACACACACACATCCACATCATAAGAATAACATTGCCCTAGAATTTTCGATTAACAAACGCCACGAAGAACAGTTAATGAAGCAAACATTTAAAAAGTTAGTTCATACAATAATACAAAATAAGTATAAAGTGTATCCAAATACAAACCAACATAAACAATAATTAATCGTTTCAATAAAAGCGACGATAAACACACAAAAAACAAAAGCTTGCGATAAACAAAAGTAAACAAAAACAATGGTCTATTTATTTTTTATATAGAATGGCGAAAAGCTTCTACGAAATGACAGATGCTGACATAAGACCTATCAAGAGGCGACTTGGTGTAATATGTAGCTTCATTCTGGGGTCGTGTAGGCTGTCGTTTTAGCTTCTAGTCTCGTGTATGATGGTCGTTTTAGCCTGTAGCGCCATGTATGGTGGTCGTTTTTGCCTGTAGCGCCATGTATGGTGGTCGTTTTAGCCTGTAGCGTCGTGTATGGTGGTCGTTTTAGCCTGTAGCTTCGTGTATGGTGGTCGTTTTAGCCTGTAGCTTCGTGTATGGTGGTCGTTTTAGCCTGTAGCTTCGTGTATGGTAGTCGTTTTAGCCTTTAGCGTCGATTATACTGGTCGTTCTAACCTCGTCTGTGGAGGTCGTCTCAGTGTCTTGAACCGATTCTGGGGTCGTCGTTCTGAGCCATTTAAAGCCACCTCAGGGTCGTTCATAGCCAGTCGTCTCCAGTCAGCTAGCGGTCCAAGAGTCGTCGTGCAGGTTAAGAAGAGTCGTGGGGAGAGTTGAGAGGCTCCAGCGCGTGTCGTTTTGGATAATCAAAATTGTCGTCTTGGCTATTCCAGGCGCGAGGGAGCATTGGACCATAGCCATATTTACCTCAGTGATCTCCCGCCCACACACACCCTCATCCTCCTCTCCCACCCACACACCCCCTCATCCTTCCTCCTCTACTACGCACCCTCATCCTCCTCCCCCACCACGCATTCTTATCATATTTATGCTCTTCCCTCACTGGTTCTCTTGTTTCTTCACGTCCATCATTCTTGTCTTCCCGTTAGAGGCCAGTTTTGTCTTCTCATTTGTCTTCTCTTCTTAATAAGGAGTTTTGGCTGTTCCTTTATTCTTCTTCTTCTTCTCTCCCTTTTCCTTCCTTCCTTTCTTCCTTTGTCAATCATTCCACGATTTTTTTTTACTCATTATTCATTCCTTCGCTGCCGCCATTCCATTACCCTGTGTGTGTGTGTTTACAAGATGGAGCCTCACACCTTCAGCTGCTCGACATACTCTACCTTTATTTAGTGTCTCTTCATGATGGACTTTTATTGTGAGTCATATCTCTCTCTCTCTCTCTCTCTCTCTCTGTCTATTTCTCTCCTTCCTCCCTCCTTCACTCCTTATTTACCCTCTTTCCGCCCTCTCTCTCTTCCTTGTCTCCTCCCTCTCACCTCCCTTCCGTGTCTCCTCCCTCCCTCTTCCTGTACTTACTTCCGTTTACCAGCGTGTCATCCCCGTTGCTGTGTTGTATACCGTTTATTTACGCCGCCCGTTGACTCCGTTCATCTCTCTTGCTCTTCATTTCTGCCGTTGCGGTTGGGATACGAATCTCTCTCTCTCTCTCTCTCTCTCTCTCTCTCTCTCTCTCTCTCTCTCTCTCTCTCTCTCTCTCTCTCTCTCTCTCTCTCTCTCTCTCTCCAGTACTATCGCGATCACTACCACTACTAGTACTACCACCATCACAACCATCACGATTTACCGCCGGCGCCACCATCGTCACCACCACCACTCCCTCGACCTACTACTACCACCATTACCACCACCAGCTACCACCCATCTGCTGTCAGTATCACCACCACCACTACCATCTACCACCATCCTCTACACCACCACCACCACTACCACCACCACCACCACAAGGCAAAACAGACAGCAGAGCCTATAATTTTAGCGCCTTGAATATCTGGCTCACGACATGCCCCCAACCCCATCCCCGCCACACCCACCACACCCCACCACCCCACCCCACCCAGCATCACTCCTTCCACCTCCACTCCCCACCCCGTCCCACCCCCTCTTCCCCTACGTATCTCCCCCCCCTTCCCTCCACTACAAGCCTACCTCATCATCTTCACTACTTCCCTTGTAAGTATGCTTAAGAGTCTCTCTTCTCTTCTCTTCTCCACCACTCACCACCATAGAGAGAGAGAGAGAGAGAGAGAGAGAGAGAGAGAGAGAGAGCTCCAACAGCCAGGTATATTCTGGGTGTGTTAAGTAATTCACAGGTCGCTTACCAACGTTTCCACCACCATTACTACATCACCACTATCTACCTACCACCACCACCACCACTATCACCACCACCACCACCACCTCAGCAACTACCATTACCACCACCACCACTATCACCACCACCACTATCACCACCACCATCACCACCATTACTATCACCATCACCACCACCACTATCACCATCACCATCACCACTATCACCACTATCACCACCACCACCACCTCAACCAACTACCGTTACTACCACCATCACCACCTCAACCAACTACCACTACCACCACTGCTAATACTACCACTAACCTCTACCACCGCCTCAACCATCATCACCATTACCACCACCTCAATCAACTACCACCATCACCACTAACCACCAACGAACCAACCAGTTATTCTATTTTACACACCTTAGCTTGTGACTGTGGATGGAAGGCGCTGCTGGGGGTGGGGGTGGACACGTGTGTTGTGTTGAGGGTCTCGGTGTGTTGAATAATGCCTGCAGGTGTAAAGACATGTGTTAGTTAGGTTAGGTTGAGGCTGTGTTGAACATGGAGGAGAGAGAGAGAGAGAGAGAGAGAGGAGGGTTGAAGTAGGAGAGAGAGAGAGAGAGAGAGAGAGAGAGGGAGGCATGATAGAGGATGATTGGGACATGATAGAGGATGATTGGAACATGATAGAGGATGATTGGAACATGTTAGAGGATGATTGGAACATGTTAGAGGATTATTGGGACAGAGAGGATGATTGGGACATGATAGAGGATTATTGGGACATAGAGAGGATGATTGAGACATGATAGAGGATGATTGGGACATGATAGAGGATTATTGGGACAGAGAGGATGATTGGGACATAGAGAGGATTATTGGGACATAAAAGAGAATGATTGGAGGAATAGGAAATTGACTTTGCTGATTGGATTAAGATTGACTTTTGTAACAGGAGTGAATATAGATTGATTAATTATACCTGGAGGAGAGCTTGTACACACACACACACACACACACACACACACACACACACACAGCCTTCTGAGAGATAATTTTAAAGTATTTTCTTCTTCTTCTTCTTCAGTGGGGAGAGAAGA